TTTGTTTCTGTTCGATAAATACAGTCAGTTCACAACATGTCTACATCCTTATGGCACTTATTATGCTAAAACATAATCATTTACAAAAGTAGGGACATACACTTGTGATCGTAAAAATTAAATTTAACATGACCTTCAGGCTTGAGAGTCATCTTCATCATGTCATAATGACAGAAAGCATAAAATAACAAGCTTCTGAATGCCTTTGATGAAAGAGGAAATGAAGCATCATTATGACTATGATGGAACAGGAAGTTTATTGAAGTAGAGTGTGGCATGGGTAACAGCTTCTAATCCTATGTTAAATACTGGGTGGGTGGGTTTCTGTTAAAAAAAAGTAAATATTTAAATTTAAAAAAAACAATAATTACAGTAAATCAAAATAAAAAATGATGTCTAATAGAACTGAAATACAAGAAGCATTCCATCTTAATTTCCATAGTCCCCAGTCACTGACATCAGATATAATGGCAGTCTAGGAAATTGAAATGTATGTCAGTTGACCTTTTACTTGGCGGAATTTACATTCAATAATGTGCAAAGAGTTACCAAAGAGAAAACAGTTGGAAATGTAAATACTGATAAATATAAGGGTTTTTTTTTCCAATGAATATCTCAAACAAAGGGTGTTAAAAACAACCGCTTATAAACAGTGCTCACTCAGTTTAACTTTAGGTGGAGACAGTATAAATAAATTTGACTCTAAAAAAAATTGTTTTAGACTTACTAGCTCATTTTCAGTATTTCCTAGTACATTCAGGTGGGCAATTTTTCCACCAGCAAAATGCTGAGCTATAGCCATTCCACTCAGGCAATAACAAGTGTGGTAGAAATCACGAGCTCTGAAACAAGATTATCTGGTCTTTAATTTTTTATATATAAGAAAGGTGTCTTGATGATTTAAAATTTCAAATATATGTAAATGAATAATCTTATTAAATTAATAAATTAACTGGTCATGCTATACATGATTCCATGATTCTTATAACTCTCAAAAATAAAGTTCAGGTAAATAATTCTTTTCCAATTTTTGGGACCTGGATTATTGAGCCTTCACTGTAAAACCCCCAAAAGAAATCATTAAATCATTTTCCTGTTTTCTGAAGCAATCTATATTTATGAGAATAATGTTAAAAATTTATTTCCATTTTCACTAGTGTAACAAGCAACTGTTATTCATTGCCCCTGGTACATATTCTGAATATTGTCCCGATTTTTCCCCCCTGCTGCATGGTTTAAATAGTTATTCTGCAAACAAAGGTTTTGAAGTGAGGAACTTGGGAGTATCCATACCTGCCAAATCAAAGCTCAAAACATAGGTAATCAAAGATTACGAAGCTCACCTCGACGAAGGTTATCTATAAGTAAGGCAAATCTCACATCATATTTTTTCTAGTTAGTGTACATCCCAAGATCAATATCTATACAAGTTTGGTTTAAGAAGGACTTACAATTACTTGGAAATAGACCTGCTCAAAAAACTTTAACCTGGTCACTCATCTGGAAAATCTAGGTCAGATTCAGCATCCGAAGCAAGTGTGTAGTGTTCATCCCTAGATGCATCATCCATGCAAGTTTGGTCCAGGTAGGGCGTATAGTTACTTGGGAATGGACCTGCTCCAAAAACTTTAACCTGGTCACTCATCTGGAAAATCTAGGTCAGATCCAGCATCCGAAGCAAGTGTGGCAGTGTCCATTCTAGATGCATCATCCATGCAAGTTTGGTTCAGGTAGGGCTTATAGTAACTTGGGAATGGGACTTGCTCCTAAAACTTTAACCGGGACGCCGACGCTAACGCCGACGCCAACGCCGGGGGTATAGCATAAGCTCATCTCGACTTCGTCGAGGTGAGCTAAAAGGTCATATGAGTTAAAATCATGACATCTTTTTTTTTCAATAATCTTGAATTTGTTTGCATATAATCTTAATTAGAGGCTATGTTGTATCACTGATTATGTACAGTTCTGTGTATTTGGTAAGTATGTTTTATCTCTTGCTCAACTAAAAGTTAGATCCTTGTGTAGCAATCTACATAAGCATAGGAAAGGATCAGATAAAAATCAGATTGGACCTTTTGGTCATAACCTTGAAACTCAACAGGGATTACCCACATGGTCTATAAAGTAGTAGGGCTGGGATGATATATCGAGATATCAATAATATCAATTCTGTGTGCATGAGGATGATAAGCATATCGATACATATGAAGAAATATCGAAATATCGCAAAAAAAATTCTGACTTATATTTTCCTTTGTTTACTTAACATTTTGGGTTTAACAAATAAAATAAATATGCTAAATATAAATACGAAATACATAATAATTAATACCACTTGTGTAAAATAATTTTGTTTTACAACAGATCTACAACCTCTTTCAATAAATTGTTCTTATTTGTGCAGAAATGTTTCGTTCATTTTAATACAAAAAAAGATTTTTATAACCAATTCAACATATCGTGATACATATCGTATCGTGGCTTAAATATCGTGATATGTATCGATATAGAAAAAGCCCTATAAATTAGTTATGAAATCATTTCTTTAAACCTAAGCCTATCAGTTGAGAGACTTTTAGATTGACAATGTGCAAATTTTATTTTCATGCTCTAGATATTCATATCCCTTGTAATTGGAAAATAACAAATATATTTGTTAAAGGTGTACCTTTTTTTATCTCCTTGAGTTTTCTTTGAATGTTAAAGTAATATAGAGAAATTAATGTATTTGAGATATACAATAAAGTGCCCCGCCACAGCATGATACGCCCGTCAAATATTGTTCAATTATCACGAACAGTTTAGAGTGCAAGAAAATCAAGTCAACCTTGATACAAGGATTTCCAAGATTTTTCCATTTCTTATAATTTTTGTTTATATATTTCCTGTGGTGTAGGCATTATAACAAATATTACATTATATAGATCCTCAACTGGTAGTGTTAGAGCTTGACAGATGCCCATCTGCAGCCCCCCCCCCCCCCCCCCCCACACACACACACACACACACAGTGACACACCCACATCTTTCATATTTGTGAGACTTTATGCTCTGAAATTTACTAGTTGATATTTTCAAAAAATTAAATAAAAATATCATATTAATCAATATCAATTTAGTCTTAACAACTTAATCTATACCAATTTAATTTTAAAATAAAAGACTGGCCATCAAATGACATATGCTATAAACTGACCAGCAGTTCTTCTGTCTAATTCCCAAAGGATACAGATAAGAACTGCTTGATCAGAGATGCTCTAACAGAAATGATTGAGACAGCTAGCCTTCCTACACTGAACTCATTAATTAATCTTTAACTGGATGCTTGTCCACTCATTACTCCCAAGGCCAAGGGATGAATGGATCTGCGCTATCTGCTTTGTAGTGCAATTAAAATGAATATTTATGTCATTCTGAAATTAAATTTGAAAACAAAGATTTTTTTTTCAATTTGTTACAAAGATTTATAAAAAGAAAAAAAAAACCTGTAATCTTGATGCAACATTTTTAATAAGGTTTCTGCTTGACCCTTAGATTTGTAGGGACTATCTACCATAGTTAAAACTTTTTTTTAAATACTTGTTGTTTTTTTTTTTTTTTTAGATTCAATGTCAGACTGGTTTTAAGCTGCAATTCATATGGACAACGGGCATGCTACCCCCCCCCCCCCCCCCCCAATTTGACATGCAATTTTCTGTTATCAAAATTCTCCTTGACCAGTGCTTGATAATTACACCCATGGGAGAGGTGGAATTTCTCTTGTAACATTATATTTGTTATGGATTGCTGTAAAGTATATAATGAAAAAAAATAAGTATTTCTTGATTTTAACATCTTTTTAATAAGGATACTGCAACACTTTTACATTTTTGGGGATTGTGTAATTTAATAGTAAAAAGACAGTTTTTTTTTTAAAAATTTCACTTAAATTAAAGGTCACAGTGACCTTAAAATAGGTCGCGACACACCTTCCACCTAAGATGCATAAACTGGCCAAGTTTGATGATTCTAAGTCTAATAGTTTTCTAGTTATGAGCCGGACAGGATTTTTCCATATTTGGCCATAGCATCTTAATTAAAGGTCAGAACGACCTACTTTTAGTGCGCGACACACCTTCTATCCAAGAAGTATCAGCTGACAAAGTTTGATAATCCTAGGCCTAATAGTATTAAAGTTATGAGCCGGACACGAGAAAAGCTAACAGACAGACAGACGGACGGACATGAACGCCATAACATAATACGTCCCGTCTAAAGACGGGCGTATAATAATACATGTAATAATAATCACTGTGCACCATAAGAATTCTCCCGAGAATTTAAGACTTCTCCCTAAAATTCTCTGAGGGAGAAGTGATATGGATCTAGGTTGGTCCCTGGTCAGTTTAGAAATAAATGAATGTCAATGACAAGTTAAAAAATTTTGTGTTATTTGTCTATTTTAAGAAAAGGTGGGACAAGCAAGTTTTTTGGCAAGAAAAGTAATTTTATGATGGTAACCTGTCCATGGACAGCTAGTGTAAAATTCTATTTGTTTACCCCTGTAGTGCAAATACCAGGATCACAAATATTTGTAAAGAATAAAGCATTATCATGTACTAAGTACCAGTGCACATCCCTACCCCTCCAAACCTAGAAAAATGGACTATAAAATATTTTAACATCTAACAGTGATCTAGATTTAGGGATGACCTACTTTCCTGGCTTGTCAATCAATCCTCCCCCAGCATACTGACAACACAGGAGCAGATATTCCTGTAAAGCGTCCTGATCAAACATCCACTTCTCCGAGCTCAGGCAATCACTGTGTTCTAAATAAAAATAATCAATCAAGGCACTCATCATTATCAGTAACAATATCAATGATGGTCAGAGTTCTATTACCTTGTATATAACTACATCTACATGTAATTAGTATACATGTAATCTCTGCTTACAAGTCACAAAATCATTGATTTGTCTTACTCTGAAGAAGATTTAGAAATATGAAATAAATTGCAGGAACTAAAATCTAATTCAGACACAAGACAACAGTTACCCTGTGCCAGGATCATATGTATAAGAGGTAAGGCTCCTCCTTGCCAGAAGGAATAACAACCATCTACTAATTTATTGGTCCGTCCCTGAAATCCCCCTTCATATCTCATCTGTCGATTTACTGTCCATCTCTGCAAAGAGAAATCAAAACATATCATTGTTATTAGATAAATGCATTAACACCTTTTAATCACCTCAATTTTCACTTTACAATAAAATTCTATTTATTCACCAGACATTTTTTCATGTAGCTTCTGTATACAGGGTTTACTTCCCATTATTACTGAACTTTTGCATGAGGTAATTTTGCAAATACACAGCCGATAAAGTTTTGATGAATAAAATTTGTTTTCCAGCTGCATAAACCAAACAAATAATTATACTCGGCCACTAAATAAGTACTCAATACATATACAATTTGAAACATAAAAATGAATGTTTTATAATACTAGCAGCTAAAATATTGTGAAGCGTCTTACAGGTGTAAAATGTATTTCATTTTAAACAGAATCATCTTACCAATAATTTTTCTATATTGCAAAGTTTTCCATGACCTAGGATCACCAGAGCTGCCAATCCACAAAAGGAATACCCTCCATGGGCCTCAAGTCCAGGGTACCCCCCAAATCCACCCTCATAAGTCTGGCAACTGCTCAAGATTCAGTCATAAAGTGTCATTTTTCAATCATTCAGATCTTTTATTTTTTTTAATCAAAATAATTTGTTTAAATTTACAGAGGGGTCACATGGCTATGAGTAGTTAAGACATGTAATACACCATTAACGGTAGTATACACTACATTATCCTCATAAATTTCATAGAAAGATGGCCGTAACTTTTACAAGAGTACTTATTACATATTGAGAAATATTATAGAAAGCTAACTGATGCAATCACTTGAAGGAATTACAGCAAGACAAATACATTACATGTACTGACCTTGTAATCCACTCGGGGGTCCCATCAAACATCTGTGGAGTCATTATGTTGGTCAATCTTGCAACACTTGCTGCACAGTAAGCTCCCCTTAAGTAAAACAAAATTGACTTTATACACTTCTACAGTGCTAAAACTCATTAAAAATTTCCCTAATTTTGAATATTGACCATCATAAAAAAAGTTACTCTCTTTTCTTTATAAATACAGAGCATAAATTATTCTCTTTTTTTTTAAATCTGAAGCATAAACTTGGGGAGAATATGTTGTCATCAAAAAATTTGATTTCAGATACACAAATGACTTAAAAAAAGGGTTGGGACAAGTTTTCCTCTTCAGCTGACTATTCCACCTTCATCTCTCTCCTGAGTCCTTTACTACTGAACATGCACTGTTTATGGCTTAAAACACATTACCTGTAGCACTTGAGATCAAGATTAGATATCACACCTTCTGTCTTGGACACTTAATGACTGTGGTCTTTATAAGACTGTATATCTGGCAGATTTGGTGTCTTTATAAGACTGTTATCTACTAGACATGGTGGTTTTATAATACACAGATTACAAACCCCCCACTTCCTCAGATCAATTCTTACCTTATATCTACTTCTCCCCCTTCGTGCATTTTGAAGGAACCCTCATTCTTCCTCATCTTCATTAGAAAAGACTGAAGCTTTTCTCTGAAAAAAGAAAAATATCTTACTTCGGTACAATATGGTAAAATCTTATCCATAAACTTCAAAAGGCATCACAATATTTGTCATGTGACCTTGTACTCTCTACACATTTCCAATAACTATATCCCTATATTTCCTGTTTAATTTATTTCCCACCTGTCAATGACCTTGAAGGCGGACTCTGTTCCCAAGATACACAGTGCATTCACTGCTGCATATGTTGGAGCTAAATGTGCTTGTTGTCCAGGGCCACCTGTGATAAAAAATGCACAAAAAAATAAATGAAATCCTGTCAATAATAACATAAGTAACATTTTCTATCAGTGTATACCAAGTTTACTTGAAATCAGACAAAACAAGAAGAATTATTATTTTGAAAGAATTTAACAAATGATTTATCTTAAGAAACCATGATGTCATCATTCATCAAAACTGAAAAAAAAATAAAAGTAACTTGAAGACCAAAGCTTGTGTTACATGTACTAAAAATTCTACATACTCTGTGGTAAACTAAAGATCTACAATTCATGAACTCAATTGTTTCAGCAATTAGAATATATCGGTAGTTACAGTAATCAGAAAGTATCAGTAATTTTAGTAATCGGAATGTTTCAGTAATTTCAGTAATCAGATTTTATCATAGTTAAAGTAATCAGAAGGTATCAGTTGTTTCAGGAATCAAAATGCATCAGTAGTTACAGTTTTCAAATTGCAGCAGTAGTTACAGTAATCAGAATGTATCAGAAGTTTCAATAACCAGAATTTAACAGTAGTTACAGTAATCAGAATGTATTAGGAGTTAGTAATCAGATTGTATCAGTAGTTACAGTAATCAAAATTTATCAGTAGTTACAGTAATCAGAATTTATCAGTAGATACAGTTATCAGATTTTATCAGTAGTGATCAGAATGTATTGGTAGTTACAGGAATCAAAATGTATCTGTAGTTTTGTAAAAATGAAAAATTTACAAAAACAAAATAGATCATCCAATGTATTTGAATTTTTTGTATAACATACATGATGGATAATCAAAGAAATGATATATCAATGGAAATATTTCATTTTATGGAGAGAGAGACTGTGTTCTGATCTTGTGTGAGTTTTATGGAGAGAGACTGTGCTCTGATCTTGTGTGAGTTTTATGGAGAGAGACTGTGCTCTGGTCTTGTGTGAGTTCTATGGAGAGAGACTGTGGTCTGATCTTGTGTGAGTTTTATGGAGAGGGACTGTGCTCTGAACTTGTGTGAGTTTTATGGAGAGATACTGTGTTCTGATCTTGTGTGAGTTTTATGGAGAGAGACTGTGTTCTGATCTTGTGCAAATTTTAATGGAGAGAGACTGTGTTCTGATCTTGTGTGAGTTTTACAGAGAGAGATACTGTGTTTTGATGTGCGAGTTTTATGGAGATACTGTGGTCTGATCTTGTGTGAGTTTTATGGAGAGAGACTGTGTTCTGATCTTGTGTGAGTTTTATGGAGAGATACTGTGTTCTGGTCTTGTGTAAATTTTAATGGAGAGAGACTGTGTTCTGATCTTGTGTGAGTTTTATGGAGAGAGACTGTGTTCTCATCTTGTGTGAGTTTTATGGAGAGAGAGACTGTGTTCTGATCTTGTGTGAGTTCTATGGAGAGAGACTGTGTTCTGATCTTGTGTGAGTTTTATGGAGAGAGACTGTGGTCTGATCTTGTGCGAGTTTTATGGAGAGAGGGGCTGTGTTCTGATCTTGTGTGAGTTTTATGGAGAGAGACTGTGTTCTGAGCTTGTGTGAGTTTTATGGTGAGAGAGACTGTGTTCTGATCTTGGGTGAGTTTTATGGAGAGAGAGACTGTGTTCTGGTCTTGTATGAGTTTTATGGAGAGAGACTGTGTTCTGATCTTGTGTGAGTTTTATGGAGAGAGACTGTGTTCTGATCTTGTGTGAGTTTTATGGAGAGCGAGACTGTGTTCTGATCTTGTATGAGTTTTATGGAGAGAGACTGTGTTCTGATCTTGTGTGAGTTTTATGGAGAGATACTGTGTTCCAGTCTTGTATGAGTTTTATGGAGAGAGACTGTGTTCTGATCTTGTGTGAGTTTATGGAGAGATACTGTGTTCCAATCTTGTGCGAGTCTGTGTTCCATTCTTGTGTGAGTTTTATGGAGAGATTCTGTGTTCCGTTCTTGTGTGAGTTTTATGGAGAGATTCTATGTTCTGTTCTACATACCTCCAAATCCTCCATCTGAACACTGACACTTTTCCAAAAACTTGGAGACTCTAAAAAGTAAAACTTTGAAAATGTACATCAAGTTAAACTAGAATACACAATCCACAAAGTTGACATATTAATGTAACTACTAGTATTGTAAACATAAGTTTAAATTTGATACAAAGGTTGTTTATATAACCATAAAGGTATTATCACCCTGAGCCAAGGTCATCTGTAAAAACTCAGTCATGGAATTTGGAAGCGTAAAATGTATGACTGGTCCTTAACTTTGTACATGAGAAACAATGGATATCTACATATGATACAATAGTTCTATTTTGAGTTTCTGCTTTCTCAGACAGGAGCTACATTTAGTGTGCCCCACAGTAGTTTTTAATCCTACCAGGACAGCTCTGCTTTGGTAACATTTATAGATATTCCAAATAAACCAAACTTGAGGCATCCATTTTCCCCCAACATATCTTGTTATTTATACATAATATTTCATGCATAACATATGAAAACCTATTTTTTTATACTTACATTGAAATTTCATCATCGGAGACATTTTCATCAAGTAATTCTAAGCTATGTAGAATCCAGTAACAAAGCCATGTACGACTGGCGTCCAAACACTAAAAAAATATACAGCTTTCTATTTTGTGAACAATACTATCATAAATTTCTTTATTTTTCATCATTTGTCATCATCATTCTGATAAAACATCCTTAACTAGAATAGAGAAAAGTGCATGTACTATTAACCATTTCCTCCTCTGACATTCAAGTCAATGTGTTTTATTTTGTATTACAAAACTAATTTTCAAGTACAGTAAAACACGCTTATAGTGAACATGCTTATAATGGATTGACAGTTATAGCATAGTGATGTTCATTACCCATGTCCTTAAAATGATTATAAACTTAATAGATATAATGAATTAGGCTTATAAAGAAGCAAAATTGTCCATCCATGGCACTTCATTATAAACATTTTACTGTATATTTAATTATTTTCAAGGAATTATCCATGTTTGTTTAAAAAGGGAGTACCCATATCAGGGACTCAGTCAAGAATGATTTTCAGGAACTGCTGTTTATACACGTGGTATGTAAAACGTATCTCTATATATACAGCTATTCTTCATTACATCTTTTAGAAAAACACCTTGATTCTAAGGTTATACTTGATTTGCTGACCAATAGTTTATCTTTATTCAGAATAATACCTCATAAGAATTTGAGAGATGCTGTAAGCCTTTCTTTAGGAAAAGAAGGTGTTGTTCTCTTTTAAGAGATGGCAATTCAAATGACCTACAAAATAAATACATGTTAAATAATACATACACAATTTTGAACATAATTTGCCCCAGTCTGATGTGATATCTTTTATATACAAGAAAGTGTAGGTCAAACACTGGATGTTTAAGGAAAACAGTATTTTTCAAACACTTGTTATTTTAAGGAAGACAGTGTATGTCAAACACTTGTTATTTTAAAGAAAACAGTGTATGTCAAACACTGGTTATTTTAAAGAAAACTGTATGTCAAACACTGGTTATTTTAAGGAAGACAGTGTATGTCAAACCCTGGTTGTTTTAAAGAAAACTGTTTCTCAAACACTGGTCATTTTAAGGAAGAGACAGTGTATGTCAAACACTGGTTGTTTAATAAATGATGATTATGCTAAGAGAGATTAACTCTAAATTTTCCTGTTCATCCTAATTGTGGTATTACTACTTATGTAGAAACTTAGATATATACTGGTAATATGGAAATATTCTGGGTCCTCTAAAATTAATGGAACCAGTATATGGAATTGATATATGATCAGTAGGTCACATGGATGGCAGATTTCAACTATATCATTTCAGTAGGCAACATCATATGACTTTCATACAGAAATTCTCTTGATCAATAAAATTTCAAGATTTTATCCAAGGCAAGATAAACTGAATTGAACATTTTATAATGTATTTTCAGGTACTCTACATTTAGTATTTTAAAAATGGTTTAATATTGATGTTTGACCAAGACTATAACAGATATTCTGGGCCCCATTTTACAAAAGAACTTATGACTAAGATCAAAATGTTATTTTATGAATAACTTCCTTCTTTACATTAATTTGAAAATGGTAGTACTTTCAAAGAGTTTCTAAGAGATATTTTTACTCAAGCTATTCTTTTTTTAATAGAATTAATAATTTTGTAAAGATTTTACATTCAGCTAAAGATTTTGGTCTTAGTCGTAAGTTCTTTTGTAAAACGGGGCTCTGAGTGTTACCAATGTACTGTATACAGAGAAATTTTCGCCCCTGTTTTATTTTCGCCCCTTTCACCCTACTCACAGGTGGGCAAATTTAAAACAGGGCAAACTCAAAGAACACAGTATAATTTCTTTAACAGAACTTTGACTGGGCAAATTTAAAATGGGGCAAAATTGTTTGCAAGTGTGATAGAGTGAAAATAGCATGGGGCGAAAATAATCCTGTATACAGTATTAGCTATTCTGATCTGACATTCACATAGATGAGCTTTTTACTACTTACTCTTTCTCTGCATGACTTCTGGCAGCGAAATACTTGAAGTAATGGGACACAGACTCCTCCACCTCTTTCTACAATGAAAACATTAAGTCAAGATAGGAATAACTATCTCAAATATTCAGATCAAGGTATCAGATATAGCTGATGATGCATCTACTTAACGCATGAAACTGTCTTTCATTCTTGCGTATATTTGTATTTCTAAAGATAATGTACAACAAAAACAAAAATTCATGAAAATTTTGTTTAAAAAACTACATTTTTTTTTAAAAGGTGTCACAAACAGGACAAGATAGGGTAAAACCTCTTTTTGGATGTCTCTTAGAATATGATGCAATAGTTCATAATCAAATAATGCTGTCATCCCTATTAAAAAATAAGTATTGATTCTAGGTTATGTGACATATTAAGCCTAATTAAGGTCATCAGAATGTCAAATAATATGACAATTTCTGAATTTTGTCATTTTTACTCAAGTTTTCATTAATTTTCAAACACATTTTATTTTAGAAAATACTGAGCACAAGCTTGCCTATCTACCAAATTTGTATACCTGGCATTTCATGAATTAGTATCAGATGCATCTTGTGTATAAAAATCTTAGACAGGCAAGCTAATGTGCTCCTTGTTTCTCAAAGTGAAAAGTATCTCAAATTTGACAAAATTGTGTCAGATTTAGGAAATTTGGTAAAATATCCTAAATTTTTGTACTCTCTTGTTGCCTCCATGTATGCTCTGAATCAAAATTAGTGCTGGTTTTAAAACAAGCAATATTTTAAATTCTTAACTGCAAAGGATCACAATTTTAACAGTGCTTTGATTTTTATATCAATTAAGATGCCAAAATTGACCTTCACCGTACCTTGTCCTTTGGTGATCTTCGGTGTACAAACTTATGGTTATAAAATATTTAGATATATTAGTAAACACAAATCTGGACAAAATATAAAAACTTTTTATCATCAACTGTTGATTGTCCTCCACCAGGTCCAGTACAAATACCACATTTAGCTACATAGCCAATCTGACTAAAGCCAGACCTCTATTTATGCTATCGCATAGAGATTTCTACATAGCTTGAATGGTAACAGTTGGGTTCGCCCAACTACTGTTAGTTTTGCCCCAATTATACCTGTAATTAGTAATTTTACGTGTCAAATTTTTGCAGGTGTGGTGGATTTGGGCAGTTTGTTTTGACACATCACTAATGTTCTTTGCTTTTGTGTGTGTGTGTGTGCTGGGGGAAGGTTTTTGATGTATCCAAAGTTAATAATGTTTCTAATAAAACTAGAAATATGTCCATAGGGCATGAATGCCCCGCCGAGGGTATATTAGTAATGCAACATTTTAACACAAATTGAGAAAAGTGAGGTCAAGGTCAAAGGAAAGATCAAGGTCAAAAATTGTCAATGCAGTTGAAAAGGTTACATCAGTATGTATCAGCGTACGAAGTTTGATAACACTATCTTGAATGGTATCTTTAAAACTGAGCTAAAAATTTATTTAAGAAAAGTGAGGTCAAGGTCAAAGGAAAGGTCAAGGTAAAAATATTGATGCAGTTGAATAGCTCTCATCAGTATTATCAGCCTATGAAGTTTGTTAAAAATATCTTGAATGGTTTCATTAAAACTGAGCTAAACAATAATTTAAGAAAAGTGAGGTCAAGGTCAAAAGAAAGGTCAAGGTCAAAAAATGTTGATGCAGTTGAATAGCTTACATCAGTATGTATCAACATATGAAGTTTGATTACACTATCTTGAATGGTATCTTTAAAACTGAGCTAAACACTAATTTAAGAAAAGTGAGGTCAAGGTCAAAGGAAAGGTCAAGGTCAAAAACTGTTGATGCAGTTGCATAGCTCTCATCAATATCTATTAGCATATTAAGATTGATAAAAATATCTTGGACAGTTTCTCTTTGAAACTGAGCTTTGAACAGAGCTAAACGCAAAGTGTGACGGAAGGACAGAAGGACGGAAGACGGACATGACGAACACTATATGCCCCCGCCATATTCATGGCGGGGCATAATAAATCCTCTTTGTTCAAAACTTCAGAAAAAGATGGAAATTTAGGGAATAAAATTTATGCCATTAACTTATTTATGGCAGCTGTTTGTGTTCTTTCATACAGCTCCTCATTGCTGATCTTGTTCGGCACGAATATCTGAGTATTCTATTGAGCCATTTTGTTTGGAAGATTTCAAGTTTTTATTTTTTTTTTCTGAATCATTAATCAAAGGTTCTACCAATTGAGTTATCTGGCCACCTGCAATCCATCCTGTCTGACCACTACATTCCTCCCTCCTTTAACTCTATTCCCCTTAGACCTTTCCATCCTCTCCCCCTTAATGCCATGATTTGATGCATGGCCCTGAACCCTTAATGACGAATTTTGATGCAGGTGTATTCTGTTGTTGATTTGGCTTGAAATTACCACTTGTTTACAACTATCAGAGCACAGGTGGCCACCTGTAGGTTAACAATAGATGATTGCATCAACAGCATCATACTACACTTAGAAATTACATGATTTACCTGTGTAAACAAATTAAAGAATCATGGAAAGACCCCCAACATCCAAAATGGCGAACTGTTACACACAATGTTTTCTTGAGTATAAAACTCGGTTAATATGCATTAATTTTTCATCCAGTTAAGTATTACATAGAATTCAACTTATAATCAACCTAATTAATAAAAGCTTTTAAAAATTATAACGATTGATTTTCATTATATATTCTACAATAAGTATTGGAAAAATGTTGTGAAGTTGGTACCACAGAGTACTCATTTCATTACCTTTTCTCATAAATTTAGTAGATACTTTCCATTTTACACATATTAATGTATGTGAAGATGTAGAAAATAATTATCTAAAGATTATTTGACCTTTCAAGTAAACGAAAGTCAGAAATCAGGTTTTATCATGCAAGTCTTAAATTCAGTCTGCAGGATTTTACACTGAAGTAGTGCTACAATTTATTGATTTCTGAGGAATTAAACTTCTAAAAAAAAATTCATAATAAATTATAATTTTACCATCAATTATATCATCACACATTTAATATTTCCTACAGACAATTTGAATTAATAAAGCCTATTTACATTTTGAAAATATCTATTTTGATACACCTGCTTTCACTTGGATTATTTCTTTACAGAAATTTTCGATTTGAATTATGTTAATAGATTTGAAAAGTTTAATTTATTACAAATGCAATGATGTATAATACATAGAAAAAATGAATATTTGGACCCCTGATAGCTCAGTTTTAAATTGCACTTCATCTAAAACAGTCTAAGGCTCATCCAGGCAAACACTCTAAGGATATGGCCAATGCATCGAATCATGGCAGAAATGGATAAGCCTTAAAGGTCTTACCCACACCCACCACCCCCAAAGACACCAACCTAAGCAATGAATGTCTATCTGAAAAGGAGAAAATGCAATGGACTAGATGAAGATTTGAACCTGGGCCCCCTGAATTCTAGTCAGGTGCTCTACCAACTGAGCTATCTGGTCATGGTTGTATGCTCGTTCGCCCTAAAATTTGTTCGCCCTTGACGCTGTTCACCCTAATTCTCGTTCGCCCAGAGTCCGATCGCCCTAAAACTTGTTCGCACAGGGTCTGTTCGCCTTGTTTATATTGCAGAAAGTTAAATAATGAACCAATGGATTTTTTAAATTAAATTATAAGTACACTGGTATATAAATTGCACACGGGAGACAACAGACGTATGCATGTGGTCACATTAAATACCTGTCCTATCAAAGACCCGGCAGACCAACAGAAATTAACATCTCCGTCCTTTAATTGTTTTCAAAACATGACGCAGATTGTAAAAAAAAAAAAACAACAACATGGATATGATCCCCTAACTTACAGTGACATTATTAAGTATAATTAAACCAATTAAGCATGCAAAAAGCATTAATATCAGAATTATTTTAATTAAGATTACGGTAAATAAAAAAAAAATACTGTAGCAACATTTGGGAAAAAAAACACCAAGTCGTAAAATAATGTTAATATTTACTATATACTGTATTTACATTAGGGCGAACGAGATATAGGGTGAACAAGAATAATGGCAAACGAACCCTGCGCGAATGGACTCATGCGAATAGGTATAGAGGGCGAACGAACCTGATACCTCTGGTCATCTGTGATCAAACCTGATCATGGCACCAAATTTGACAGACTAGGAAAAAAAATATGACGGACCAGACCAGGATTCGAACCCAGTCCCCTGAATCTCCAGTCAGGTGTTCTACCAACTGAGCTACCGGTATCTGGCCAGCGGCGACCGAACCTGTCTGACCGCCACACATACTTGCGATTTTTTTGTCAATTTTGAATAAAGAGTAAACTCGTGAAAACTTGCATTACATTACAGGGGTCTAGAATTACGCTTTCCCGTTGCCCGGGGCAAGTGAAATTCATCTCGGGAAAGATAGTTTTCATGATAAACTTACCCGAACGGGAAAGTAATAAATTTCAGGCTGAGCCAGCAAAACTTTTCGAGTTTATTAAAAGAAATCAATAACAATAAACATCCAATTACATTGTATTAGAATCTGCACAAGTCTGCTACATTTCGTTTATTTAATCTCCAATACTTATCATAGGAAGTCCAATTACTTGTATAATATTGGAACCAATCCGGAAAGATCTCAAAATTACGGAATGGCTTTTAAAAAAGAAATGATGTTTTGAAAACAATGTTTTGTCAAAATGTGATTAAATCAATAGATATTTTAACAAAATAATAAACAAGTACATAATAATTGCTTTTAGATGGTGTATACATTAAAACCACACAATAAAAAAAATAACAAAATAGAGTTGTTTATATTTTTCTAGATTTTTGTTTTCGAGTTCTGTTTTAGGTTAATTAATGATATGTTTTCAAATAAATAAACCAGTAAAATTAAATGATTTTCTGATATGTTTTCAAAAAAAAAAATCAGTAAAACTAGATGATTTTCTCTATCTTTTTGGGGGCAAGTGAATTTTGAATCTGGGCAAGTGGATTCCCAGTCATTACTTGCCCGTGGGCAAGTGAATTTAAAAAAAAATTCTAGACCCCTGCATTAGCAAAATCAAGCTACTCCAAGTAGCTTAATAAAGCTACGTAGGTAATTCAAGCTACGTACTTAAATGTAGTGATTGTACTGAACCTGTCTACAAGTACAATGTCACCACAATGCTTAGAACACCATGTTCACGTGTTCTGCATAATAATGATCAATGAACGATATACGATAGTGCAGGGTATAAAATCACGGCGAACCATTGCCTAGCCTATTAACGATACTTACCTGTTCATCTGATGAAACGGTTCCTAAACCATCATCGTTATATCTTTCTTTTTCATATTTAGAATTGCTGCATCTAAATCGATCCATGTTTCCTAGCTTCGATTTCTCTACCTTCTCTAATTGAAGAGCTCGGATGTCGGTAAAAGGAATTCCACAACGCAAAAACCAATATTTGCCTTGTTATCTTGGGCTAAGTTATCAAATAATAAAAAATTAACTATTTCATTAAACCTTTAATTACTGTAAGTTTCTCACTAGTTTATCATGTTTATACGAATTACAAACCCATAAGTTTTTTTTGTAATAATCAAGGTAAAACTACTTATACCCACAGCACAGTATGTATGTTTACATTCACTATGATTCAGGGAAAACCATGTCCATGACAGTTACTCATTTTGACAGTCAGGCGCCTAACCTATTCTTCAAAATCAACTCAAAATGGGCACACACCACTCAGTGATGGATTTAAGTGAAGTACCAGAAACTGTGCTGCTGCATATTTTGTCATTTGTGAATGAAAAGGATCTCTTACTTAAGTGTTCCCTGGTTTGTAAAAACTGGAAACGATTAGTTGACACCCAGACTCTATGGAAAACTAAATGTGAAAGAGAAGGATATTACTCCTCAAAATGGTTACCCCTTCCACCAGATGATTTTAAGAAATATTTTTTTCAAAACCCATACAATCGAAATTTGATCAAAAATCCATGTGCATTAGGTACGTTAATATTAGCTCTCAATAGCCAAAAGTACAAGTGAGCTTTTCTGATTCATTCAGTATTGTCAGTTTGTCTGTCTGTCAGTCTGTCACAGAAACTTTAATCTCGATCATAACTTTTGAATGAAAAAAGATAAGGTTTTCATATTTCATATGTACATTAAGTGTGGCAAGACCTTTCCAAATATACTAAGATTTTTGACCATGTGTCCTTGACCTTTAAGTTTGACTAACTTTTCAAAAATTATTACATTACTTTAACTTTGGGTGTAACTTTTGAATGAAAAGGGTTAGGGCTTTTCTATTTCATATGTCACATTAAACGTGACAAGACCTTTCCAAATCTACTATGGATTTTGACCTTGAAGTTTGACCTACTTTTCAAAAACTTTAACATGGTTGTAGCTTTTGAATGAGAAAAGATGGTGCATTCATATTGATATTGCATTGCCTGTGATAATACATTTCTAAAGGTGCTATGATTTTTGACCCGTGACCTTGATGTTTGACCTAATTTTCAAAAATTTTAACATTAGTGATAACTTTTGATTGAAAGAAGATAGGGATTTCATAATTATAATGTGAATTACCTGTGACAAGACTTTCCATATGTACTATGATTTTTAACCCATGACCTTGACCTTGAAGTTTGACCTAATTTTCAAAATTTTAACATTGCTGATAACTTTTAGATGAGAGAAGATTATCTTTTATATTTGACTGTGCATTACCTATTTTAAGTCAATTCCAAATGATTTCTGGTATTTGACCTTAACCTTAAAATTTAACCTTGAGTCTTTTTCAATTTTTTTTTTTTACATTTGGAATAAATTTTAAATGAGAGAAGATAGGTCTTTTATATTTTACATGTACATTACATAAGACAACATCTTTCAGAAAGAACTTGGCCTAGCATTTTTAACTTCATGACCTTGACCTACAGGTTTGACCTACTTATCAAAAATTTTAACTGTGCCCATACCTTTTCTTTCAGAGGAGACAGGTTTTCATTTTTTATTTTTCACATGTGCATTATTTGCGACAAGACCCTTTAGGTTGTATTATGATATTTGATCTCATGATCTGATGCAATTTTGAGAACCGTTTATCTTTGTCATAACTTTTATTAATTAAAAAAATGTATATTTTTATTATATGATGGACAGTAGGGCTGGGACGATATATTGAAATATTGATAATATTGATGTTATCTGAGGATGATACGCACATATCGATACGTGTGTAGAAATATCGAAATATTGCCCAAAAAATTTCAGACTTATTTTTTCTTTGTTTACTTAACATTTTGGGTTTAATATATAAGATAACTATACTAAATATAAATATCAATATGAAATACATAATACTGTATGTGTACATAAATTGGCATATTCAAAATTTAGCACAATCACTGGGTATGGAGTTGTTGGCGAAATCATGAATTAGCGCTATACATGTCTGCGCCGTATATTGTATTTATAAATGATTTCTTAGTGGTATTCATGAATTAGCGCATCGTTGTCTGCGCCAAAGCCACTAAAATATGACGCTTGCTTTTTTAAGTACACATACAGTAATTAAAACTAGGGATGTCAATTTTGTCAATAATTCATATTCAAATATTCAATGAAAGTATTCGAATATTCGATAAAATAGATAAAATATGTTTTATAAAATATGTTTTATCTTAAATATGCATCATGAAAGATTAAGCGTAGGTATACTTATATTGGAAGTAAAATTGTATGAAGACTTTTGTAGGTGTACAATAAGAAATTCCATTTGATATTTGTCAATGTTTGAAATAAATAATTGATTTAAATGTAGAAAAGTATAATTTTAACAAATGAAAATGGAACATGTTCCAACTGAGGAACCAGTCGTCTTACCAAAGGCAAGATAGTCGTAACAGTATACTGTTCAGATTTCAATATTTGTAATAAATTACAATTATCTGCCTGATAAGAGATATGATTACATGTATAATCTTTGATACAATATAAACAAATATTTCCATAGACAATTTTCCTAGGTAATTAACTAATTTCCCGATAATGAACATAAAATTCAGGATTATGTACAACCCGAGATAATCAAGTAATTTACACATTTATTCTGAAATTAAGCCCTTTACAATATTAATTACAGACTAATTCTATCGGACATCCATTCAATGATCAATTAATTTATACTCTTCACGCCTTTTAGACATTCTAATATTTCATTTCTTTGTGCTCGCTTCTAGATCCGATCATATCTAACTAAAAAAACTATGAAAGTACGTTTTGTATTATACATAAAGCATTATTGTACAGTTCTTTAACACCTCACTCAAAACAAAATACATGTAATTTAGTAGATCTACAAGATATGAAAGTAGTGAAAGAAATCAGGCGATCGAAATTGATCGCTAGTAAATTAAACAGGGATAATCCCAGCACTGTTCTAATCAAAATTTATCAATCACAGTACTTCTTTTTATGAAATCTGAAAAACACCGAATATTCGAATCTTAAATTCATATTCGAATATCAACTCATCGAATGAATATTTGAATATTCCTTGCCATCCCTAATTAAAACCACTTGTGTCAAATAATTTTGTTCTACAACAGATACATAGCTTCTTTAATAAAATTGTTCTTAATTGTGAAGAAATGTCTTGTTCATTTCAATAGAAAAATAAGATTTTATGACCAATTCAAAATTTGATACATATCATATCATGGCTCAAATATCGTGATTATGTATCAATATGAAAAAAACAATATCATCCCAGCCCAAATGGACAGACAAGACAGGACACACAAGACAGTTACAATATGCCATAAACAAATTTGCATCCCAAGCACTAAGACCCTGAAAGTGGGGGACCACAATTCTTTGAATTTGCTTGTTTTTTTCCTCCTCTGTAATTTTTTTAACAGAATCAGTAGTATTAATATATAGTCTTAAGGCCAAATAAAAAAATATGTGTGGTTCCGGTTACCCGACCTTCCCTATTTTATACCCCCGACCCTAAACTTTTTTTTGGCAATTTTCATATTTTTTCCGGAATTTCCCCCGATTTCCATCAATGGCTCCAGTTTAAGTTTTAGTTTCAGCAATGACGGCCTCCTTGCAAAACATAGTGCAAGTGTTTAATAGTGTTAAATCCAAAGCAAGCTAGCATGTAGGTGTCCCCTACCAATATTGACTAGTATATTATCACACCACATCTAAATGCCATTTGCAAAGCAGTGATAGGTATTATTTAGAAAAAAATTAAGAAAATCATTTTGCTTAAAAAAAAAAAAAAAAAAAAAAAAATCCCTACCTACCTACCCTAATTTTTTTGGAAGTGTAACCGGAACCACACATATTTTTTTGTTTGGCCTAAGGTTAAGTATAAGAGGGTGACCTGACCCTTGTGGAAATACTTTGTGTTTGTTCCCCTTCCAACATAGGATTATCAATCTCTCAATGCCTAATATAATTACTATGTTATTATACAATTTATTACATAACTGTTACACAAACTTTATATTATTTTTCTCTAGCAAATCAAAAGTCAAGCAAATTCATTCTTTTGCAATGTCATATTTTAAGTATATTGTGTGTTAATTTGTATATGTATATTTGTAAAATATTGTAATATTTACTATCAAATCTAAGGACCCCCTGGCACCCCTAGTGAGGAGTAATATAGGGGGACACCTGCAGATGTCACTGCCCCCATGTTATTGTGTACTTGTTTTTAAAATAAAAAATTAAAAGTAAATATTTGTTGGAATGGTAATGACTGGGGCTTTCAGATATTCTCTTGTTCTTCTTTTAAGTTTAATATTCAGTATGTCGTACTTGTGCTTAAAGATATTCACATTATGACATGGAAGTTAGGATAGAATATTGTTATATATATATATATATATATATATATATATATATATATATATATATATATATATATATATATATATAAGATTTGTGCTCTTTCAGAAAAATTTGATCATTGGAAAATTGACAAAAATGGAGGAGATCGATTTGTAGTTGAAGACAAACCAGTAGGTTGTCATCCATTGGAGAAGTTTGCAGACTTTAAAGGTAAGACTATAGGTTGTAATTATTGTAAATAAAAAAAAAACATACTGTTTGCAAAAGAATAGCTAAAAGAAAGTCAGTAAAAAGCATTAAAACAATATATTCTTATTCATCTCTATTGAAAATTGGTCCTAATTTGAAATAATTTAAATCATCTTTACCAAATGATGTTTTAATCCTGTTTGAAATGGTGAAGTGATTCTTGAGATGAAAGTGAATATGAGTAACAATTAAAACTAACTGCGCTATGATTTTTGACACCTTGACTTTGAAAGTGTAATTTTCAAAAATTTAAACTTTCCCAATAGCCTTTGAATGAGAGAAGAAAGGGCATTGATATTTGAATATGCATTACCTGTGCAAGATGATTTTTTGATGGTGTGACCTTGACCTTGAAGTTTGATCTTATTTTCAAAAATTTTAACATTGCTGATTACTTTTGAATGAGAGAGGTTCATCTTTTATATTTGACATGTGCATTACCTGTTTCAAGACCTTTCCAAATCTACTCTTGTTAGCTCTGCTTGTCAGAGACCAGAAGAGCTTATGCAATAGCAAGGTGTCTGTCGTCCGTCCGTCTGTGTCCATCTGTCTAGCTGTCTGTCTGTAAACAATTTTTCAAAATGCATCTCCTCCTACAGTTTTGGTCTGATTTCAGTATAACTTGGCACACAAGTAGACTACACTAAGATACACAATTTAGTGCATAGGTTTTTGATATTATTGAATGGTGTTGCCATGGTTACTAGAAATAGAAATATCTGTGAAATTCCTTTAAAACACTACTCCTCTTACAATTTAACTTGGCAAACAAATAGACTACACTAAGATATATAATTCACTGCTGCAGCATCAGTTTTTGATTTTAATTAATGGTATTTCCATGGTTTACCGTTACTTAAAATAGAAATTTCTGTGAAATTCCTTTAAAACACTAATCTTCCTACAGTTTTGGTCTGATTTCAATATAACTTGGCACACAAGTAGACTACACTAAAGATACATAATTTAGTGCAATGGTTTTTATTTTGAAGAACAGTGTTGCCATGTTACAAAAAATTAAAAATTTCTGTGAAATACAAAATGCTACTCCTCCTACAGTTTTGGTCTGATTTCAGTCAAACTTGGCACACAAGTAGACTACACAAAGATACCTAATTCAGTGAATCCGTTTTTGTGAGAACGGTGTTGCCATGGTAACTAAAAATAGAAATTACTATGAAGTTTTTTAAAATGCTACTCCTCCTACAGTTTTGATCTGATTTCAGTATAACTTAGCAAACAAATAGACTACACTAAGGTACATAATTCACTGCATCAGTTTTTGATTTTAATGAATGGTATTGCCATGGTTACTAAATATAGTAATTTCTTTGAAATTCTTTCGAAATCCTTCTCCTCCTACAGTTTTGGTCTGATTTCAATATAACTTGACACACAAGTAGACTACACAAAGATACACTTGCATTGGTTTTGATTTTGATGACTGGTGTTCCTATGGTTACTAAAAATAGAAATTTCTTTGATATTCATTTGAAATGCTACTGCTCCTACAGTTTTGGTCCGATTTCAGTATAATTTGGCACACAAGTAGACTACACAAAGATACATAATTCAGTGCGTCAGTTTTTGATTTTGAAGAACAGTGTTGCCATGGTAACTAAAATAGAAATTTCTATGAAATTCTTGAAAACGCTACAGTTTTGGTCCGATTTCAGTATTACTTGGCAAACAAATAGACAACACTAAGATACATAAATTAATTCAGTGCACTGATTTTTGATGAATGGTATTGCCATGTTACTAAAAATAGAAATTTCTTTGAAATACTTTCAAAACAATACTCCCTCTACAGTTTTTGTCTGATTTCAATATAACTTGGCACACAAGTAGACTACACTAAGATACATAATTCTATCAATACGTTTTTAATTTTAAAGAACCGCCTTGTCATGGTTACTAAAAATAGTAATTTCTTTTGAAATTCTTTCGAAATCCTATTCCTCCTAGTTTTGTTCCGATTTCAATATTACTTGGCACACAAGTAAACTACACTGTGATACATAATTCTTTATATTGATTTTTGATTTCAAGACAAAACCAATTTTAAATATTCTAATTTATTTCTTTTGCATAGTTTCAAGTTCCTTTGTTAAAAGTACAAACCAGAAGAGCTACAATCTCGTCATAGACTTCTAGTTACTTATTAACAGGCAGTCTTTACTATGATATTAAATGAATTTCCATAATTTTTCTAACAAATTTGGTGTGAAAACATATCTTCACCTTCTTTATTTTTATGCCCCGCCATGAATATGGCCGGGGCATATAGTGTTTGTCACGTCCGTCTTCCGTCCTTCCATCTGACCTTCTGTCACACTTTGTGTTTAGCTCTGTTCAAAGCTCAGTTTCAAAGAAACTATCCAAGATATTTTTATCAAACTTCATATGCTGATAGATATTGATGAGAGCTATGCAACTGCATCAACATTTTTTGACCTTGACCTTTCATTTGACCTTGACCTCACTTTTCTTAAATTAGTATTTAGCTCAGTTTTAAAGATACCTTTCAAGGTATAGTGTAATCAAGCTTCATATGTTGGTACATACTGATGTAAGCTATTCAACTGCATCAACATTTTTTTACCTTGACCATTCCTTTGACCTTGACCTTACTTTTCTTAAATTAGGGTCAAACTTCATATGCTGATACATACTGATGTAAGCTACTCAACTGCATCAATATTTTTTGACCTTGACCTTTTCTTTGACCTTGACCTCACTTTTCTCAATTTGTGTTTAACTCAGTTTTAAAGAAAACATTCATAATATTTTTATCAAACTTCATATGCTAATACATACTGATGTAACCTTTTCAACTGCATCAACATTTTTTGACCTTGACCTTTCCTTTGACCTCAACTTCATTTATTTTAAATTAGTGTTTAGCTCAGTTTTAAATGAACCATTCAAAATATTTTTATCAAACTTAAATATGCTGATACGTATTTGTGAAAAGTATTCAACTGCATCAGAAACATTTGACCTTGAACTTTCCTGTGACCTTGACCTCACATTTCTTAGATTTGCATTTTGCTTAATTTTAAAGAAACCATTTAAGATATATTTATGTAAGTTTATGCACTTATACATAATTTGGCCAGAATTTATCATCTATATCAAACTTTTTAGATTTCAATTTCAATTTTAAAGAAACTATTCAAAATATTCTCATCAAATTTCATACACTAATACAAGTTTTCATGCTGCATTAGTAATATACCCTCGTCGGGGCATTCATGTCCTATGGACATATTTCTACTTATTTATATATCAAAAGCATATTTGGATTACAACATTTTTACAATTAATTAATTCTGGTAATTGTAATTCAAAAGTTTGAATAAAAAAATTAATTATTTCTGGAATTTATAATTACATACCAGTGGCATATATTCCATATAGGCAAAAAGGCTGTAGCCTACACATCATTTTGTCAGGGAAACTTAAAACTTAAACTTAAAACAGGGAAACTAAAAACTTAGTTGAAAAAATGGGGGAGGGGAGTTGGTAATAATCTTTTATTTTAACCTAATATTTTTTACTTATTTTGTTGCAAATGCCAAAAAAGAATTCTTAGCAATTCACACTTTTATACCTATCCAATGTAAATGTTTACAGTTTTGCTTTTTTAAGCCGAAATTCAAGTGTTATAAAATCTTATCAGACAATTTCAAAACCATCGACAGCAACAGGTATTAGTGCAGGAAGTGAAATTGATAACTGGAAATATTTTTGGTTAGTAGGAAATTGAAAGTATTGTTCGTATTTGGATTATTCAGTAAGTAAGTTACCATATTTTCTAAGCAGAGTAAAAGGATAAGTTAAAGGTGCTTAGACACAGATTTGAAGTTAATGTTTACTCAATTTTTCTGTATAATTTCATGACTTATATGTTGCTATAGCATTTCATACAAAAATTTGATAAAATCTTATTTTATCTGGAAGTTATTGAAACTTCGAATTTGTGGACGCGTTTGATAGACACATCCTTGCACTTTCACAAATTTTAACTTTATCCCTATTAATTTAGAAAAGTAGCAATTTTGTTATTTATTAATGAAAATTATTAAAACTGTAATGCAGCAATTTCAGAGTAGAAATGTAGAAAGCAAAATCCTCTCACCAGTATTGTCAGTCCGTGCTCAGTGGTGTGTGCAGAGTTTAACAATTGAAGACACCCGGTGAAACGTAAACATTAACAACAACAGAGCCTGTGCCCCGTTTACAAAAACAGTTTATGTTTCACGGGTGTATTCAATTTGTTAAACTGTACACAACTACACAACACTGAGCACGGGCTGACAATACTTAAAAGTGAGTGGGTTTTGCTTTCGCACATTTTTACTCTGAATTTTCTGGATTATAGATGTAACATTATTCATCAATACACAACAAAATTGCTACTTTTCTTAAGTATTAAGGATAAAGTTAAAAATTGTGAAAGTGCAAGGATGTGTTAATCAAACGCCTCCCGAAATTCGTAGTTTCAATAATTTCCAGATTAAATAAGTTTTTAATTTTATTTTCGTGTGAAATGTTATAGCAACATAGAAGTTGTGATATCATACAGAAAATTTGAGGAAATATAAACTTTAAATCTGTGTCTGTGCACCTTTAAGAGTTCTCAATTTTGTTAAGTGGTCTTCATATCATGATATAAACTGAAAATATGTTTACAATATTATTTTCAGTGGTCAAATTACAATTGTAGGTTTCTTCGAGTTTGCAAAAATGCTCCCTTTGACCCCCCCCCCCCCCAATACCTATCGAGAGGGGGCTCCTTGCCTACCCACACTTTGCACCTCAGGTTAAATCTGTGACTTCACACTAACCTACACATCAGCAGAAAGGAATGTATGCCATTGCATACTAAATACTGGTATTTTAATCTCCATATCATGCATATACATATGCATCATGCAATAAAAAAATTTCAATATACCAGTACACCAATAAAATCACCCATCCCTATAAATGACCCCTATTGATTTTGAGGTTACAAAGTCAAAGGTCAGTCAAACTGGACATGGAAAGATATTGACTCCTCAATATCTTGAGAACCCTTTGTCTATGCTAGACAGACATGAAACTTGGTACACTGGTTCCCATTGAGGAGTAGATAACCATTGTAGATTTTTAGGTTAAGGGTCAAACTGGACAATGGAATATATTGACTGCTCAATATCTTGAGAGGCCTGTCCTTGATGGACATCAAACTTTGTACACTGGTTCCATTTAAAGAGTAAATGGCCCCTACTGATTTTGATTTCACATTAGGTCAAAAATCAGGAGGCAAACTGAACATATATGTTTCTCAAAAATTTCTTGTTTCTTTAAGTGTGTTCACGTTTAGCAAATTTAAGATCCATATTTTGTTCACAGAATTTGATTATTTTAACATTAATCTTCTACTTTTAGGATCATACAAGTGCTGGGTGACATCCTATGGATGGTGTGAGAAACATCAGATTATTGACTTAGTTAAGGAAGGATGTTCTTCTGAGGTCCTGGATAAAATAAGACCCGAGGTCCAGGTCTCAGAGTGGTAGGTCTTACTATTATAGGATTCAGATGTTTATTTAACTCACCACTTTTCCACTTTCCCATTAATGGTATGTGGTGTTAAGATGGGTTCGATCACCGTTGGCCAGATAGCTCAGTTGGTAGAGGCCACCTGACTGGAGATTCAGGGGGTTCGGGTTTGAATTCCGGTCTATTCCGTTGCATTTTTCTCCTCTCCAGTTCCATTTGATGCCATACCCTGGATGTGACAGGTGAAAGACCTGTCAGGTAAGAGCCTAGGTTGTTGTCTTCAGGCCTGTAAGGAGGAGGAATGTATCAGTCAGATGGGTTCCATTGCCTGTGGCCAGAGAGCTCAGTTGGTAGAGCACCTGACTGGAGATTCAGGGGAGCCCAGGTTTGAATCCCGGTCTGGTCCATCGCATTTATTCTCCTCTCCTTGTTACATTTGGTGCTGTGCCATGCCCTGGAAATGACAGGTGAAAGACCTGCCAGGGAAGAACCTGGGTTGGTGTCTTCGGGGGTCGAAGGCCTTTATGGAGGGAGGAATGTGGCAGTCAGGATCAGGCAGGGGCGATTGCTTTTTTTACGACTCTTAGCTTCTCTTTTGTTATGTTTATTGGAATGGGGTTTCTAGTTCTATACACTCATTTGAATGATGAGTCTCAGAGCTTGTTAATTAAACCCTTCATTCCAGATTTAACCAAAATTGATGTTAAATACAGCACACACAAGGTAGTGTTGGGGGCAATATTCATGTATTTCTCAAAATTAAGTCTTATGGAGATTTGTAATTTTATGGACAAATGCCTTCTAAGTTATTCATGGGTAAGAATACCCATGAAATCCACAACAAGAGAACCAGCCACAATGCTCACTTGAGTAACTTTAACCCTGCTGTTCATCAGAAGATTTTTATATTCCCATGTTGTGGTCCTACCCTAACTCTAACACAACAATGGGATGCCTCACATCAATATGACTAACATAGCCTTGCAGTTATGGAAAATAAAGTTCTTATCCTTTATACATACGCATTATGTAAAATTTGATCATGATTTTAGCCTATGCTACCCAGGATTCATAATTTTAAAAAAGATAAATGCACACAACTTGTGAATCTTTGCAAATTAATGGTTCTTTTGTGTTTTTTTTTTTTTTTGAGAAGATTTTTTTTGTCAAAAAATCTCATACACATGCAGTTTCATGTAAAACTTCGATCCCCAACTGTGACCAAGTCCTACACCAGGGACCGTGATTTGAAAAATTTACAATCTACATTATATTAGGAACCTTTCACATAAGTTTCAACTTCTCAGGTCCAGTGGTTCAAGAGAAGATTTCTTTAATTTTTCCTGTTTACTTTTATCCCCCTTTTTAGCCCCATCCTTCCTCTGTGTGCCTTGATTTGAACTACATGTATTTAGAATCTACACTATCTCAGAAACCTTTCACAAAAATTTCATCTTTTCTGGTACAATAGCTTTTGAGTAGATTTTTAAAGATATTTTCCCCATACCGGTATATTTCAATGTAAAAAACTGATTCCCGAATGGTCCCACCCTACCTTTGGGGGCCATGATTTAAACAGTTTAGAATCTGCGTAATCTCAGAAAGCTTTCATACAAGTTTTATCACTTCTGATCCAGTGGTTCTTGAGAAGAAGATTTTAGAGCTGAAGACAAGTGACTCAGCTTTTCTGAAATCTGTTCTTTCAGCATTGGTGTAAACTTTCTACATTTTTATTTTCTTATAAACCAATGAGCCAATTTCAACCAAACTTGGCACAAACTATCCTTGGGAGAAGGGTATTCAAGTTTGTTCAAATGAAGGGCCATGTCCCTTTCCAGGGAGAGATAATTTAAAAAATGGCAAATATAGGGTGGGATTATATTAAAACCTTCTCAAGAACCACTGGGCCAGAAGAGTTGAAACTTACTTTACTTAGTGCAGATTCAAATTTGTTCAAACCGTGACCCCTAGGGGTAGGGTGGGGCCACAATAAGCTATCAAAGTTTTAGTACATAGGAATAGATTGGAAAAAAATCTTTAAAAGTCTTCTTCTCAATAGCAGCAATGGCATGATATGGAAGCATCCTTAGGTAGTGTAGTCAGGTTTGTTCAGATCTTGACCCCTGGATGTAGGGTGGGGCCAAAACAGGAAATCAAAGTTTTACATAGGAATATATAGGGGAAAATTTTTTTTAAATCTTCTAAAAATAAAGACAAAGGGCTGATTAGTTATATAGATATGGAAGCATCCTCATGTAATATACATTAAAGTTTGTGGGACAAAAATGGGCGATTAAAGTTTTACATAAGAATATGTAGGAAAAAATCTTTAAAAATCTTAAGATCAGCTAAGGCAAGATAAGTCATATTGACGTCAGCATCCTGAAAAATGTGTAGATTGAAGTTGTTCAAATCATGACCCCCTGGGGTCGGGTGGGGCTACAATAGGACATCAAAGTATAAAGCTTAGTGACTCAGGTGAGCCTTGTGGCCCATGCGCATCTTGTATAGATTTTTCTCACATATTTCAATGTAAAAAATAAATTTCCTATTGTGGCCCCACCTTGCCACTGGGGGCCATGATTTAAACAATTTAGAATCTACACTATATTGTATATCAGAAAGCTTTCATGTAAGTTTTATCTCTACTGGTCCAGTGGTTCTTGAGAAAAAGAAGTTTAAAGATCTTTTATTTATATATATATTGATCCCCTATTGCAGCCCCTGGGGAAGGGGGTAGGCATGATTTGAAAAATTTAGAATCTACACTACCTTAGGAAGCTCCTACACAAGTTTCACCTTTTCTGGCCCAGTGGTTCTTGACAGGATTTTTTTTAATTGCCCCACCCTAATTTTGCCTTTTTCTTGTTTATCAACCCTTGGAGGTGAGCTTGACCTTTCATTTGTACAATTTAGAATCCACTTATCCAAGGATACTTTGTGCCAACTTTGGTTAAAATTGGCCCAGTGGTTCTTAAGAATAAGTCCAAAATGTGAAAAGTTTGCAGATGGGCAGACAGACAGAAAATGCCAGACAATGGGTGATCAGAAAAGCTCACTTGAGCATTTAGCTCAGGTGAGCTAAAAATTGAACCCTTCACAAAATAAAATGATACAACAGTGCATAGTATTAATTGTCACTACTTTATGATCAGAACTTTTCAATTCAACAAGCTGATGAATTTAAGCTTAGTATGAATATCGCATGGGGATAAAAAAAAGAATTCTACTTATTATCTTAAAGGTATGCAGCAAGGTTTGACTGCAAGATGGAGTACCACATAAAAGTTGAGCTATTAGATGCTGAATCCAAGGTGTTGGATAAATGGTCGTTTTCTGATGAAAAACCAGCAGGCAGAGACTGGTTTCAGGTACATAAAATATGTATTTCATACACATACTGTGTAGTAGAAATTGGTGTGTAAACTTCAAGACTAGGTAACAAATTTACATTGTTTAATTCCTATGGTATTTCAAATTACGAGCAAGATTAAAATATGCCTTGTTCTGATTCTTCTCTCTCTATTATACATGTATTTTTCCTTACTTCAAATTACAGGTAGTAGGAGAAACGGTAAAATCAGATCACAGATAATTGTGAGAAATATCATACATTGATATTTTTATTTTTTAAGTCTTAAAAGATATTAATGTTACTCTGTTATATATACCCATATGTTAATATAAAGGTTTACCATAGGTACATATCTGTCACATTTTCCAGTTATTTCTTTCATTACATGAGGATTTCATTATTGTTTTCAGGTTGAACATATTTTTACATCATATCCAGAAGGATTGAGGTTTATAAAATTTCGACACAAAGGCAAAGATCAGCAATTCTGGGCAGGGCACTATGGTTCCAAGTTCACAAATGCTAGTGTTAGATTCAACCTTCAGCACCGGTTAATGTTACAATTTGTTTTGTTTCTAAATCAATACATTTTGAGATTTGTTTTTAATTCAATCGCTATAAATATCAGATACATATAAATATCAGATACACTGTTAGATGCAGTGTACTGTTGACGCTAGCATTTATTTTAAAGCGAAAACCATTCCCAAGTAAATTGTGAGTTTATCTATACTTATGAAGGCTTGTTTGAAAACCGAATTATCACTCAATTTCTTCTTTTTTTCCTCAATTTCTTTTAATTGGGGTAAAGATGGGGGGAGGGATCAACCATTGTGACCATGTTCTTGGAATCCCAATGGGCTATAAAATGATTTATTACAGGGTAGTATAATCAATCAGAATGTTGTTAATTGTATACAAAATATAATTAGGACCCAAAGTAATAATCATCATTAATTAACATTTCAGGTCTGACAGTGTAGACTCCCCTTCACAGGTGTCCAAGTCTCGCTACTCTTCCTCATCCTCAGAATATGAGCCTGAATATATGTGGAATGATTCGGAGGAAAATGATGAAGAGGAAGAAGAGGGAGCCATCTTGTAATTATATCACCTGATTGCTAAATGTTGCTCACCCAGGAGAAAGACTTATGGCTTTGACTGAATTAAATGTGAGCAAGGAAGATAACTGGTTTTTGTTAATACTTCTGTACCCTAAAATACTCTGGTCATGTATACCAATATTGCTTATTGCTTGGTTACATGTTTTTCATATTTTTGTTGAATGAAGTATTCTTTAATAGTTAGTATTAAATATGAGTGACCTGACACTCACATATGAAGATTTTAAGTATTTACACATATTTTGTCTATATGTATATGGACATATAGTCCATTTCTTTACTGTAATTCTCTCAATAAAGTTTTATAAAAAGGTATTACGTGTTACTGATAAATAACTCATGGAGATTTTTATAATCATTATGGTTGCTTTAAAATCTTGTCTTATTTATGTCATATTTCTTTATTAATGACCAAGTTCTCAGATTAATACAATATCTCTTCTGGTCCAGTGGTTCTTGAGGATCTTTACAGACCCCACCTATAATTGTCACTTTTTCCTGATTATCTCCCCTTCAACCTTGAATCCCCTTCACATAAGGAAGTTCACAGTCAAGATTACTGTAGACTCGTTTTAATTCATGGGGGTCAATGCTCATGGGCAAGCAAAATTTACTAGTTTATGGGAATGTAATTTTGTGGTTAACGTATAATACAGAAGACCCTTTGAAATGATACGTTGACGAAGGTATGGTTGATGGGGATGTAAATTTGTGGGTAAAGGTAACCTACTAAATCCAAGAACATCAGTCCCTCAGGAACAGTGATGATTCCATATTAGTTAATACGGCCTAGTAGCTCCAGAGAAGTTAAAAATGTGAAAAGTTAAGGAACAACAAACTTTAATCAATAAAGTTCACCTAAGCTTACAGCCCCGACAATTTAAAATGCCTAAAACCACAGATACAATACTTATCATTTACATTACAAATAAACAACAAATGTTAAACTGCATATAATCTGAATTACCCCTAAACCCCAACCCCTTTTAAATGCACAAGAATTCAATTTCAATTTTAAACACATAGGGAAAGAGTGCATCATGTTTCTAGAATTTTCCCCAATCCCATTTTTAAACTTTCTAGACAGTAATTAATATATGTTCCATAAATTTGAATTCCTTGCTTCAACTAGAGAAACACTGAAAAGTTTAGTCTTTATCTCACCTAGATGTAGTTGAGATGAGATTATGTAATACTGCAAGTCCATTCCCAAGTAACTATAAGCAGTATCTGTATCAAACTTGCATGGATGACGCCTCCAGGGATGTACACTATCACACTTGCTCTGGTTGCTGGATCTGACCTACATTCTCAGGATGATGGACTGGGTTGAAGTGTTTGGAGCAAGTCTATTCCCAAGTAAATATCAGCCCTGTGGTGACTAGACTTGCATAGACACTGCATCTAGGGATGCAAACTGCTAGACTTGCTTCAGGCTCCGGGGCCATAAAACTTAGATGACCTCACTTTTGATCTCAGTCTCACTTTTCCCTTATACATTCCTTTAGTAAAAGTGAGACCGAGATCAAAAGTGAGCTCGTCCAAGTTTTATGGCCCTGGAGCCAGATCCGGATCTGACCTACATTTTCCTGATGAGTGACCAGGTTAGTTTTTGGAGCAGGACCATTCCAAAGTAACCTGACCAAACATGCATGGGTGATTGATCTATGGATGCACAAGAACATTCACTTGGTGTGAGATGTTGCATTACATTGTACTTCTGATAAAATTCATTGAGGTGAAGTCGTAATCTTTGATTACCTATGTTTTAGTTAACAAAGGGCAATTACACAAAGTCACTGAAATTTGCATTTGTCTAAGCAATAACTTAAGTAATGACATCCCCTGAGCATAAGCAGCCCCTACACCCATCCAAGTTCTAACCATAAACAAAGGACAATCAAAGTCACTGTGAAATTAGTCTCTAAACCATAACTGAAGTAATGACATTCCTTGGGCATGATCCCCCCTTTCCCATCAAGAACATTTCCCTTCATGACTAGTCTTTGTTCAAATGCCTGGCTTACAGTTCATGAAACAATTTCCTAATGACTTGTACTAGTTGATCAGGAAATTAGTAACCTTTTTTTCTCACTCATGCTTCTTCAAAAATTGTAATTGGCAAGAATATTAAAAAAAAAAATAAAAAGACTTGAAGTTTTTTTTTTATTTTAGGATTGCTTCCAAGAATGATGATATAAAAATATCATATAAGATACCGTAGTAAATGCCTATCACAATGTATATCATACACTCCTGATAAACAGAACAGTGCTAAAACTTATTTTAATCAATAATTACAGAAATAGTGTTTTGTGCTTGAGTTGCTTCTCATACCAGAAAATGCAAAATCCAGACATGTACTTACATGTAAATACACATAAAAATAAACCTAAAAAAGATAAATATCATAGGTGTCCATGGACAGACATGTATATGTGTTGTCACCAAAATGGGCTAAAATTTTCTTCTTTTAATCCTAGAATAACTGATATCACAGCAGAAAATGGCACTCGGAACACTTCTAGGAGTAAGCATGAACAATGACGTGTTCTTCAATCACCTAAAATATAATAAAAGATATATTCAAGGACCTGCAAGTATATGTATGATTATCAGTTCCCTTCATATATATATTTTTTTTGGTCAAGTAAATCTGATTTTTTTTTTCATTAACCATCAGAAGTACACGTATACAAATTATTTGCAAAAAACCAAAGCAGCATTTTGTCCTCTTTTCAAGGCAATCCTTTTACTTGCCAAAAGCCTACATACATCTTTTGGGGCAGTAGATTGGAATCTTTCTTTACAGTTCCTCCAAGGACAAGGGGTCTTTTTGCCAGCACGGACATTGTTTAAGATGTGATCATGGACCACATGGTATACAAGATGGCTCCTCAAGGCAAACACATTACTACAGTCTGAACACTGCAAAGATATCATTCTAATAATCAGTTTCAATAATGACCAATATATATAAATAAAATTGCAAATTTGTGAATTTGTGCCATTTTCCTAATACAGATGTCACAAACACTCATCACCGAGTACTTATACAGATGTTACTAAGACTCATCACTGAGTACTTATACAGATGTCCTACAGACTCATCACTGAGTACTTATACAGATGTCCTACAGACTCATCACTGAGTACTTATACAGATGTTACTAAGACTCATCACTGAGTATTTAAACAGATGTCACATGGACCCATCACGGAGTACTTATACAGATGTCCTACAGACTCATCACTGAGTACTTGTACGTGAGTACTTTCACAGAAACAAACTCACCTGATAGCTGTGGTCCCACTGAGTACTTACACAGATACAAACACACCTGACATCTGTGGTCTTGGTCAGTACGTACTCGGAAACAAACTCATCTGACAGCTGTGATCCTTCTGAGTACTTACACAGATATAAACTCACCTGACAGCTGTGGTCTTGGTGAGTACTACTTGCTCAGAAACAAACTCATCTTACAGCTGTGATCCTTCTGAGTACTTACACAGATATAAACTCACCTGACAGCTGTGGTCTTGGTGAGTACTACTTGCTCAGAAACAAACTCATCAGACAGCTGTGGTCCTGCTGAGTACTTACAAAAATATAAACTCACCTGACAGCTGTGGTCTTGGTGAGTACTACTTGCTCAGAAACAAACTCATCAGACAGCTGTGGTCCTGCTGAGTACTTACAAAAATATAAACTCACCTGACAGCTGTGGTCTTGGTGAGTACTACTTGCTCAGAAACAAACTCATCAGACAGCTGTGGTCCTGCTGAGTACTTACAAAAATATAAACTCACCTGACAGCTGTGGTCTTGGTGAGTACTTACTCAGAAACAAACTCATCAGACAGCTGTGGTCCTGCTGAGTACTTACTCAAAAACAAACTCACCTGACAGCTGTGGTCCTGCTGAGTTATAGGTACAGCTTCTGTTAGTCCTTGTCTGTTTCCTGTAATCAACTGTATACAAAACATAAATACAAACATCAGAATGACCAATTAGAGTATTAAATTCTTCATTAATAGAAATCATGTTAAATATCTCACCATTCCGTCACTTATTCTCATTCGGATAATTAACCCTTCCCCTGCCCCAGCTCCATAATAAAGGCGTAACAACTTCCGACTCTGGAAACAAAATACAAGTAACTTGTCACATGTACGAGCTCATCCTTGATAGATGAAAAACTGATGAAATCAACAATCAATATACCAAGTTTTAAATTTCATTACATCAGGCTACCTATCTACAAATTATTCTATTTCAAAACAAAGAAAAACTGAAGACCAACACCTTGAGGTTGAAATTGCGGAAGATTCTCGTGTGGATACCGAACGGTATTCAATAGGGTATGTACCTTTAATTATTCTATTTATAAGCAATATAAAATTTATCTGTTATTGCAGACCCAACTTATAAATATTTTCATTTTCAGATTGAAAAAAGAAATTGACGTGACCCTGAAATTAAAAAAATGACTAGCAAATAGAAGGACACAAAACTGTAGATTTGAAACGATGTGAAAATAATATTATTCAGTTTGTGAAAAAACTACCAACAGCATAAGACTTTCTTATCAGTTATCTACCTTTTTGCTATAGCAACGTATGAGTTTGTCATAGGAAGCACAAAACAGCTGGTCATCATGGGTACAAACACAAGACACTATCCCAGCAGCCTCTGTGAATGTCCACAGTAACTCCCCCGTCTGTGGGTAAATTAATTCATCATTCAATATGTCAACTAAATAACTTCTCTCATTCAATAATAATCAATAATATATAATCTCATTCATAATTGATTCCTCATCAGTGAAAGTAATCAAATAGGATCATACACTGGGAATTTTTCACATCTGTTTTACTTACACCCTTTTCGTCTTTACCTTCTGTGTCAAACTTGAATCTGTTGTTACATAATGTCCTGACTTCATGTAAATGTACATTTGTCAAACACTTTTAGTAAAATTTACAAATATAATCAATAAATGGATCAGTGACCATGAATTCAAAATAGACTTGGGGATTTTAAATTTTTAAGATGAAATTTAGAACAGGCGGACATTCGACCTTAAACATGAGTAAAACAAGAGGCCCATGGGCCACATCGCTCACCTGAACACAATGGCCAGGAAAAAGCACAAATCAATTCAGTTTTGAAAAGTTTACAGGGGGGGGGGGGGGGGGGGGCTTGAATTTTAAACTACCCTGAGGATGCTTCAATATCAATATAACAAATGGCTTTGCTGTTCTTGAGTAGAAGATTTTTAAAGATTTTTTCCTATATATTCCTTTGTAAAAATTTGATACCCCATTGTGGCCCCTCCCTACCCCCAGGGGTAATCAGTGGAACAAAATTTAATCTACACTATCCGATGATGCTTCCATATCAATATGACTCAACATGGCTTTGCTATTCTTGAGACAAAGATTTTTTCCTTTATATTCCTATGAAAAACTTAGATCCCCCCTTGTGGCCCCACCCTATCCCCAGGGGTCATGATTTGAACAAATTTGAATCTATACTACCTGAGGATGCTTACATATCAATATGACTAAACAAGGATTTGCTGTTTTTGAGAAGAAGATTTTTAAAGTTTTTTCCTATATATTCCTATGTAAAACTTTGAACCCCCATTGTGGCGCCACCCTAATCCCAGGGGTCATGATTTGAACAAACTTAAATCTAAACTATCTGAGGATGCTTACATATCAATATGACTAAACAATGTTTTGCTGTTCTTGAGAAGAAGATTTTTAAAGATTTTTTTCCTATATATTTCTATGCAAAACTTTGATCCCCCCTTGTGACCCCACCCAACCCCCGGGGGTCATGATTTGAACAAACTTGAATCTATACTATCTGAGGATGCTTCCATTTCAATATGACTAAACAAGAACTTTGTTGTTCTTGAGAAGATTTTTAATGTTTTTCCCTATATATTCCTATGTAAAACTATGATCCCCCACTGTGGCCCCACCCTAACCCCAGCGGTCATGATTTGAACAAACTTGAATCTACACTATATAACAAAAGTTTCCTATAAGTTTTAACTATTTTGGGCCATTGGTTCTGGAGAAGAAGATTTTTAAAATATGCCACCAAATTTTCACTATTTCTGAATTATCTCCCCTTGAATGAGGGCGTGGCCCTTCATTTGAACAAACTTGAATCCCCTTCACCCAAGGATGCTTTGAGGCAAGTTTGGTTAAAATTGGCCCAGTGGTTCTGGAGAAGAAGTTGGAAATGTGAAAAGTTTACAGACGGACGGACAGACGGAGAGCTAGACAGAGAGACGGACTACAGACAAAATGTGATCAGAAAAGCTCACTTGAGCTTTCAGCTCAGGTGAGCTAATAAAATTGTATACACTAGCAAGCCAGAATTGGGCAAAATTTGAAACTGTTCTTTACAGCAAATAAAAATTATCTCAAGGCTGAAAATTTCCAAATAATTATTATATTAGGTATAACCATAGAAAACTGAGTAATTACCTTTAAAACACTGTTAAATTTAAATGCAAAACAAGAGGCCCATGGGCCACAACTCTCACTTGACTGAGTCACCTTTGCCACTGCTTTTCTTTAGAACATTGGTCCCACCTAAGCTGTGAGCAAATTTCAATCTACACTATCTGAGGAACATGACTAATCATGACTATATTATTCTTAACAAGTTTTTTTTATCCTCTTCTGTGCCTCATTCTACCCTAGGGGTCATAAATTTGAATCTACACAACATGATAAGGTTTGCATATTAATTTCACTTATCATTATAGTTCTTGAAAAGATCTTTTTAAGACATCCACCCTTCTTTTGCCTTTTCTTGATATCTCCCCTGTTAAGAGGATGTGGCCCTTCATTTGAACATATTTGAATCCTTCAACCAAGGATTGTGGCAAGTTTGGTTGAGACTGTCCGAGTAGTTCTGGAGGAGAAGTTGAAACTGTGAAAAATTTACAGATGGACAGACAGATAGATGCCAGATAAAATATAATCAGAAAAACCCACTTGAATGTTCAGCTCATGTGAGCTAAAAATGACAGACATAAAAGTACCTCCAAGACAGTAATCAACTCACCAAGATGTTGTGTTCCATCACAGTTTTGTCCCCTGATCCACTGTACACAAGATGACCATCCACCTTCAATAATGATTTTGTGCAATCAAATTTGTCTTTTTTCTGTTTAAAAAATCAACTTCCAAACTGTTTATTCAACTAAAATAGTGGGGGGGATGGTTTGAAAACATTACCTTGGGCAGTTTTCCTTTGAAGAGTAAAAATGCTTCAATTAATCAGGATAAAAGGAGCAACAAATTCTGTTGGGTGTCATAAACTTTCCACAGAAATTTGTCACAGCATACTTAAAGTACATTTAAGACAAATAATGGCAATTCAAGAAATCTTTGTAATTTCCTACCATGGATTGAACAGAAATTGTGATGCTACAGAAGTACATTTACAGTAGTTTAAGCTAATTTTCTATTTTAATTAAAAACAACACTGTAAAAATTGTAGCTTGATAAACAGAAAACAAACTTTATGTGGTCAACACTTCTGCTATTTAAATAAGAGGAAATCAGTTTTTGAACTTGACCTTTGATCTAGAAAATTGGTTCAAGGTCACTACATATCATTTGCTCCCTGGGAATTTATGGGTGAAGTTTGAGCCAGAATATGCCAGGGAGAGAGAAATATGCTCTGGACAAATGAAATGGATTGATGGACAGACTGATCAATAAAGGGCACACTGCAGAGGGGGCCCTAATAACCTAACCCCTCCTTCAAAAAATGTAGGTCAGATGCAGCATTGATGCTCAAATGGTAAAATCATCATACACTCAAGTTTGGAGTAGACAGAGCTTGCAGTTACCTCGGAATACATCTGCAGCAAAACCTTAAACCTGGCCACTAATCCACAAAATTTATGCCAGATGCAGTAAATGAAGCACGAATAAAGTGAGCATCCTTAGATGCAAGAGTGGTCCAGGCTTAACTTATGGTTACTTGAAAAATGAACCTATTTCAAAAACTTTGACCTGGGGAGCCTAAGCCAAGACCAGTTGTATTACACAGGCTCATTCAACTCCTCTTAGGTGAGGAAAAAAAATGGTTTGTAGGATTGTCATTATCTACATATATCTTCTTTCGAATAAAATTCAGTGTGAATTAGCTTTGTGAATATTTGCTTAAAATATATCTATTACTAAATGAATGCATAAGAGAATCATCTTGTATGACCATTTCTCAAGTCTTCATCCAAACATCTCTAATGGTTATAACTGACCGTTAGTCCTCGCCCCCTGGGGTAACACCTCCCTGGCTCTGGGTTACAGCCACCAGCCACTGGTAACCAGGCTCCCCCCAGGGGTTGTATACAAGCCCTCTCGGCACGACAAGCCCGGTCAGTCTCAATCAATGAATGCTCTCATCTCACACACAGTATTGTTTAGTGTACTCACATCAACTCTACAGTCCATTGTTATCTGTTATTAATGTTAACTGCATTGTTGCCAAATTAGGGAATATATTAAGGCTCAAAAATCATTAGAGCAATTAATTTTAGAAAACATTTCCACTGACTTGCACTTGAACCTATAACACTAGTCCTTTTCACAATGTTTCAGAAATATTCTTAGTTCCTTCTTTTGTGATGTATTTCATTTTTTTCCAATAATTTTGTTTTGTATGGTGCATTGAATAATTGAACTACTGCACTTCCAAGTTCATAGCAGTGAGGTAAATCTGTTATCTGATATAACAAAGACCAATCACTGGATGTAAGATGAGAACATTCAAAAACCGTGAGAGGGTGACACAAGATTTCCCACTTGTATTACATGTACCTGTAGGAAGAACAGTGTCTTAAGTGTGCCCCTCTAATATTTGTATCAGTAAGCCTGTACTGTGAGAGGGGTGACACAAGATTTCCCACTTGTATTACATGTACCTGTAGGAAGAACAGTGTCTTAAGTGTGCCCCTCTAACATTCGTATCAGTAAGCCTGTACTGTGAGAGGGGTGACACAAGATTTCCCACTTGTATTACATGTACCTGTAGGAAGAACAGTGTCTTAAGTGTGCCCCTCTAACATTCGTATCAGTAAGCCTGTACTGTGAGAGGGGTGACACAAGATTTCCCACTTGTATTACCTGTAGGGAGAACGGTGTCTTAGTGTGCCCCTCTAACATTCGTATCAGTAAGCCTGTACTGTGAGAGGGGTGACACAAGATTTCCCACTTGTATTACCTGTAGGGTGAACGGTGTCTTAGTGTGCCCCTCTAACATTCGTATCAGTAAGCCTGTACTGCTGTCATAAACATAAATCATGGCATCAAAGGAAGCTACCAGTATTACTTTACGAACACCCTCAGTGGCTGAGCAGATCCGGCTGATTGAACGATCAGCACAGTGAAATGTGTCTAGAACTTTGTCATTCTACAAAAATCATAAAATAGTATCAAGTACCTGAGAAAAGCTCTTAGAAAGAATTTTGATCCAGTCCAACTTTTTGGCTTTGCCAAAAAATACATCTATCTTGCAATAATTTAATAATTCATTCTAAGTGTTGGCTATTTATTTTAAGAAACAAGGAAGAGTAACGACATGTACATTGTCATACAAAAGTAATTATGATCATTTGTACATATTATTAGGAGAAAGTATAAATTAAGTCTATTGAATTTGATAGCACATTTATATCCACGACTTTTTAAGTAAAATTAACCTATATTTTAGCACATTGTGTCTCCATTATGCTTTGTTTGTTTATTAATTTACAATTCTCTGTCTACAATCCTGACCTTTAATGACATGACAACCACTGTCCCGCAGTCAGTGCCTATATATAGATGACCCCAGCTCTCCAGGAAACACTGAGGTTTGCCTTCAGTCGGCTCCACCTTCAATGGCTTTTTGGTCTGCAAAACAAACAATAAAAAAAATATCTTCTTTTTTTCTCTGACAGGCTGAACCAAAGTACATGTAAATCCCATTGCTCTTTTGTAAATGAAACTTTTTTTTTTAAATATGTTCCATCTAGTGAAGATTTTTATTTTCAATGTATATTCATAAAATTACTTAAGAGGCTGACATAATGTACAGTGATTTATTAAAGTGTAAGATTTAGACAAATACATTGTTACATACATGTTCACTTAAAAACAGATTACAACTTCTTTTTACATTTTGTGAAATTTTATTTATGAATCACAAAGATAATTGAAGCTTACCTTACAGCAGTATGTCAATAGCATCATTTCTTGTGCTCCAACATAAAGCTTGTTTGTTTCTTTGTATACAAGGATACAACTAACATTGTAACTCATTGTGTTAAAATCAAAATCTAACTCTCCAGTCTGTGTAAGAAAGAAAAATTCTACATCAGAGACATATAAATGTACATGACTAAATATCAAACATTTTTCCATTTCAAAATCTCCATTCTTTTGCTCAAGCTGTTCTCCTCTGCTTGAAGTAAAGAACATGATTGTAATCTCTACTAACAGAACATTTGGCTGGCATCAGAAATTCAAAGTTTGTCTTGTTACAAGCCAGGTTGAAACTTTCCTAATTCAATAACAAAATTCCAATCTAAAGAAAACATTTACAAAAAGATAAAATGGCCCACTCTACCTGCAGGTTGAACCTTTTAATGATTTTCCCTTGGTAGGAGACATACAGAAAACCATCAAGGACTTCAACGCCCGAGATGACCTCCTTTGGCCCAATGTATTGGATTGGGTCCCTGTGGGGGGACGGTAAATGATCCTCTGGGATCTGCAGTGTGGACAGACCCAAGGTAGACTTCATGTTCTCAACTGCCTTCCTGAAATTCTCCATTACCTCCTTGTCCAAGGATAATCTTCAATAGTAAGGTCACTTCAATACATTATTTATATACACTATACATTGCTCAAATACTGTACACTATGCATTAAATACACTACATGTATTATATATTATTCATCATCTCAATTAATTGCCTCCTGTATCTTCAAAGAATATAACCAATCTATTTGCTTTAGTTCAAATCAACTTAGCAGTTGCACTAGCTGAGATTTTAAAGATTTATTTTAGCTGTTCAAGCAAAATTAAACATTGGGCTTAATTCCAAGTCAGAAACAGAACACCTTTATAATTAGCATTACTAGTAAGCTAAATGTAAATTCCTGTTTGTTAGCAGGCTTACTCCTCAGAGTTGAGTTTATTTCTCTGTACCCCTGACCTTTCCCTGGCCTCTGCGGCCAGCTGTTTGTTGTCCTCTGATTCCGTCTCTAACTGTACATCCTCCAACAGGCTTCGTCCTGGTATCACTTCCTGTTTGACTTGTACACTCTGTTCTGTGTCCTCTGATCCCGTCTCCACAAGCCCTGCCTCCTCTGAGTCTAGACCTTCAGCCCTCAGAGCAGCTGGGATGTTACTCAGGGACTAATCACAAAAAGAACATAGTTACACATACAATACCACACTTAATGTCAACATAGCTGATCTCAGCAATCAATTCAGAAGCCACTTAATCCATTACTTTGACTTCTTGTACCTTTCCATTTTTTTAATGATTCACAAAAAAGTTAATATTTGCAAACATGATAGTTTCATGGGTTTTATTTGAGTTTTAAAAAAAACTGTTTAATATACATGAATTACACCTACACAAATTCTACATACAGATTTTAATGTAAACATAACATATTCAAAAAATTTAACATGGAGTATCAGTAATCCAACTCAGATTTAAACATAACATACCCTACACCAAAAATAACATGCAAAAAATTTCTCTCCCCCCTCTCCTCCCTTAATACAACAGACAGACACATCCGCCTATATTTCACATCTATGTCTGAATCCAACCACCAACCTTAAAGACAAGTTGTTGTTTAATGTCGGTCAGTTTTGGAGCACTTTCCCCATCTTGTGAATTTCCTCCATCTGAGCTGGAATCGAGGACGTATCCCTCCTTCTGCTTTCTCACAGAGATCCTGTCCCTTTCTTTCTTGGTTCTCAACTTTTTCTTAAAAGGTGACAAGCATCTGGCCTCCTCCGTACCTGGTGCTGTTTGCTTTTCTTCCCTCCCATGACGAATTTGTTGGCTTGTGGCCATTAATGGACTGGAATCCAAATTGAGGTTCTGGAGTCCAGACTTGACTGTCCTGACAGGAGTACAGCTGTCACTCAGCAATGCTGGGTCTTCCCGTAAAGTTCTATCACTCCGTTCACTGTCAGAGTCTGTATTCACCACTATCACATTTTCCTCTGATTGGTTAGTGCCCTTTTTGTTCAAGTTAGCATACTGCCTGATTTGTTCACCCAGAGAGCAGTTACTGTTCACACTTTCATAATTTGAATCACTAACATGTCCACTCCTAAGGCTTCTGGTTTTACCCTGCCCTCCTTTGTGGTCCTTCTGCCTTTGACTGTCCACAGGAAGAGAGGTTGGTCCATCTGTTTCCTTGTCTTCTGGCCTTCCTCCTTTGATGAGGGACTGGATATGCTGGTAGGCATCAGTGTCCTTGTCCAGCACCATGTAGGAGGGACCTTGACCTTTGCTGCTACCTTGACCTCTTCCCAGTTGAGTGAGGAATGCCTTGTTGTCGACTCCTAGTGTTCCCATATACTGCATGTTGAACTTCTTTGCTTCATTTTCATCACTCTCTCCTTTCCTCTGACTGTCATCAGACCGCTGAGAATCCTGTCTCCGACGTCTCATCAAGTTTGCCAAAGGCTCATCATCAGAGTCTATTTCCTCTTTCAGATTGGAAGTTTTAATTAAAGAATTCAGAGTGATAAATCCTGCTTCATTAAGTTCTGTGCTCTGGGTTACATCAGAGATTTTCCTTGGGTCACTACTTTCCACTATTTTGTTCACTGGGTTCCTGGTCGACTTTACAGGTTTTGGAGGAAGGGAATGTGCTATGTTATCAGGAGCACTGGCTTCTATTCTACTTCCTTGTGGCTGATCTTGGTTTCTGTCAGCTGCTAATTTCTGTCTACTGCCCTCCATGTTTAATGATTTGTCTTTTATTGAAGTTCCTCCTATAGATCCCTGAGTTGAGGTGACCTGATTATCTTCTTCAGGCTCCTTTTTAACAGAAGCCAAATCTCTACATAAACTGTGTTCTAATTTGTTCTCAGCCTCCATGGAAATAGTTTCCTGTTGCAGACTTGAGGACAAATTTCTCAACTGAGAAAAAATGGAATCTGAAGCGTGGGAATTAGGGTTAGCAAGAACCGAGGAGTTAGAAGTGCCAAACGATGAAGCATAAACCTGTCTATCACGCTCTGGCTCTAGACGCTGGTTTCGATTCAAAACATTCAACAAAGTACTTGTGTGAGGGTCATTGTACGATGATACCTGAGGGTCAGGATTGTGAGAGGTTTGACTGGGGGTCATGGCCTTCCCACTATCCTCCAGTGCTGGGCCTCTGATCTGATCTTCCAATTCTGAGAGCTGAGGTGTGGAACGACCTGATCGCTGCTGGATTTTGACCTCTACAATATCAAGTTTGGTAGAATGTAAACAAAACAATATACAAAGAGAAAGACTGCTCAAAATGAAACTAGACTGATTGGGAAATAAAAACATAGCTCACCATGGAGAATTCTTAATCTTTTCCCTCGCAGCTTTTCCTCTTCACTTTGTAACTGTAACAAATACCATATAATTACACATTCTCATTTTGTACTTCATAATTAAGTGAATTCTTATGCACTTGTGTATAAAAAAACTGGTTCAATCTGTCAATTAAAAACTTTTTTTTCCCAATCAATGAAGGCAGATCAGCCAGGTAATACAAAGGTTGTCCCAGATACAAGCAATTTCTCTAAAAAAAAAAATTTCATATATGACCTAACTAAAATTACCGGTCATCATTTTTTGCACATTGTTGCATGGGAAATGATATTTTCATTATTTTGACATATTATGAGGTTGTAATGTCATATGCATATGGAAACTGCATTAAAGGGGTGTTTAATATCAGTGGTCAGTATGTCGTGACAAAGAGCAAAGGGCCACTTAGGGCCTTTTTTGGCCCTGTGAATTTCTGAAAAATCGAAACTCTCAGTTTTCATTGACAATGCAGTATTTATCACTTGGACCCTTGGTGACCGTGTATTTATTAAACATGACGTAATTTTCTCTATAGTCAATGCATTATGACGTCATGAAATGCATCATTTTCACCATATCCTGTAAATTCCTTTAAAAATGGCTTAAATTTGAAGTATTTTATCTATATTTCAGATGGAGCACAACCTCTGATCCAAAATATGCAATTACATAATGAGAGATCTGTTTCTGAAGATTATACATGCTTTAATTTTTGGATCGACTGTTGTGCTCATATTTTAGTTCTTTGCTGAAGGTAGTCAAATATGCCTGCTTTCTGCAAAATTCAAGAACATTGCATTTTCACAAAGTCTGTTTTCCAATACCTGGATTCTCAAAAATAAATTTTGTTATTGGGAAAGAGAGCACTAAGTCTCTACTTAATTTTGACATATGAAATGGGACAGAGGGTGATAGTCAATTAATTGATATAAGGACAGGGCCATTTTATGCATAAAGTGAACCTAGCTCTTTATGCTTCTACTGAATTTTAAAATTCTAATGAAAGTCGCACGATTCCTGAATTATTTCTCAAATGCCATAATCTACATTTTGATTTGTGTTACATCAACATCTTTTATGTAAGATCTGTTTAACCGAGAGAAAAATATTATTAAAGGAGATAGTTTATTAAAACTTCTATGAAGCAATGTTGAGTATGGTGCATGCCTATCTTTAACTTTATAATATTAGCGAGACAAAAAATATTGAAAATGTTCATGTTTTCTGGGACAACCCTCATACATTAAGAGTTGTAACACTTGTTGATTACAAACACGATAGCTTTCAAAGATCATTTCAAATCAAGAGAAGTCAAATTACACGTACATGCTGTATCACGATAGCATGAAATACCAATACAAAAAAACACCTAGCTGCTATTTGTTTGAAAAAGACAAACATTATGAGATAAACTGATTTTCATTACTCTAAAGCTACATGACATAACAAACCCGGAGTTTCTTCTCGTTGTATCTGCTGAGCTGTACTGTGGCTTCATCAATCACATTTCTAAAGTATGTTATAAACTGCTCCACTTCATTAAGGTCTTTCCTCAGTGATTCTTCCTTAATGCTAATATCATACACTGTGTCAAAGATACTCTCTGTAGATCGACCACTCTCCAATGATGACAATGAACCTTAAAACAGAGAATGACTTCTATCGTATTGATTATTAAAAGTGGATTATTTCCCTTTACCATCATGTTATGGCAAATCAAAGGTTAAAACCACAACACTATGCAAGAAAAAAATGCCTGTGAGGGTTAAATTTCATTTACTTCATCAATAAGATTCCTGAGTAGAATTAAATCCTCAATGAAATGTTACCTATGTGTCAAATTAAATTATTTAAAATTAATGGTATTAAAAAATAACAATTATGAAAATCATTAAATTAACACCCATAAAATTCCTTCTGCATTATGTAGTGAACAGTTTTGATGAAGACAATCAAGACATTGATACAATATTAACCTGACAATGTAGGAAGTGAAGCATCCATTTGTGTTGATGACCTCTGAGGAAAGTGATCTGCTGACTGAGGCATTCTGGGAGAGGGAACAGCAGTAGGTGTGGGCAGTGTTTTACCAGTCTCCCCCAGACTGGTGGTAGAGGTCACAAGGCTAGTTGCACTGTCTGGACTAATAGACCCTTGGGCTGCTTTCTCGTGTCCTGTATCCATGGGCTCACTTTTCACAATGACAGCAGAACTGGAAGAAAGGTCACTCATTTTCAGTGGTTGTGCAGTACTTGAGTCCACGTCTTTCCTGTTTTTTGACTGTAGTTTGTCCAAGTCTGTAGACATTGTTCTTGGCCTTTCTTTTGAGCTACCCTGTAAGGCTCTGTCTAATTCCTGGAACTGGTCTAATGCGGAGACATAGAATGACCCGGGTCGGGAGGAGGTATCTGTCTCCAAAGTGTCAGATGTTTCTACAGATTTCTTTGCTGTACTCGACATCAAGGCCATCTCCAGATCATTTAAGTCTGGTGTGACATCTGCCTCCATCAGTTGAGCGATTTGAATTTGCACCTCTCGAGACAATTCTTCTAATCTCAGTTCTTCAATTTTATTATCAAAATTATCATCATAACTGCCAGAGAGCTGAAGATTATATCGAGGTAAGGATAGTTTCTTCTGTGACTGAGCATAAGATCGTAACATTCCAGCCAACTGCTGTCTCTCTTTTCTTGACCTTGGTGAATTCACCATTTTTAATAAAGAGTCAGTAGTCAGTTTTTCTTTAGATTTACCACTACTTGATGTTTTATCTAATGTCTTACTTGTTTTTTGACTGTCAGGTTTTGCAGATGCTTCCTTCTTATTCGAATGCCCCACTGATGCTTCCGGAACAATGGATTCCAGTTGAGATTTATTTATTCGACTACTTGTTTCCTTCTTTTCTGACTTATCCTTCTTACTTGAATGCCCCACTGATTCCTCTGGAAAAGGCACAGATTCCAGTTGGGATTTATTTATTCGACTACTTCTTTCATTCTTTTCTGACTTACTCTCTGTTCCAGCAGAATTCAGTAGTTTCTGTGTCTCATTAATACTCTGAACACTTTTTTCGATGTTCTGTCTTATTTTGTCAATATCCTTATTACACTGACCTAACTTTAAAATGTTTCCATTTTTGGTTTCTTTTTCTGTTCTTTCCTTAGCACTAGAATCTACAGTTGATGTCTGCCTGATTTCTTCCGTAGGGATATGACCTTTCACATACTCCTTACTTTTATCAGATAAAGTCTTTAGTTCTTGGTTTATGTTTTCCAATTTTTCCATCTGTTCCATTTTCATTTTCTTTTCTCTCTCTAGTTTTGCTTTCTCCCTCTTTTCTCGAAGTTCTCTACACAATTTTTCTGCCTTTTCTAATACTCCTTCTCCCCCCTTTTCCTCCCGAACTTTCTTGCTTGATCTCTTTGGAGACCCAGGGGGAGATCCCTTACTCCCATTTTTCTTCTTTTTCTTCAGTATACTTTTCTTCTTCTCCTTCTTCTCTCCCTTCTTTCCACTTGAGCCACTGGACAGTTCCTCTTTGTCCCCACTACTAGTCACACTGTCCCCTTCATGCTGGGAAGATTTGTCCTCATCATCTTCAAATTTGATGTGGGTATTCTTTGGTTCCTTACCCTTGTCTTGTCTACTTCTTCTCTCAGTAGAGCGGGCAGGGGAATTATATCGCCGTCTTTTATTTGTCCCTTTTTCGTAGCTGTCTGACCTATTCCTATTTTCTCGCATACTGTCAAGGTACCTTTCACTACTGGGACTTCCTGATCTGTTGTTAGACTGAGACACTTCACCTGTGGTCCTGAATGCGGTGTCTGTATGTATGTGCTCCAATTTTTCGAGGGGTTTTTCTTTATTCTTATTATCCTGGGTAATTTTCTGTTCTCTTTCATTATGTGATGCCTTGCTCTCTTGGTTCCTGTTACTTCTGTCTCTAAAGCCGTCCTTTCTCAGATTGTTTCTTTGAGGGTTTCTTCTATCCCACCTACTTCGATCTCTGAGTGAGTACTCATCTTGAAATCCATAAGAATCCTCTCCCCATCCCCAAGATTCCTCAGGAAATCCTGAAGCATTCATTAATTCATACGGAAAGTTTGGATCAAAGTTATGGTCATTATGATAAGCACTATACCGATTCTTTTTATTGCCTGGACCCACATTTCCTCTCATCCCTCTTCTATCTATTTCCCAACCATTGTCCTCTAAATGACCCTGCATGTTGTATTGTCCATTATCATAACACCGCTGTTGGTAGTTCTGGTTTGGAATTTCGTGAAAATTCTGTTGAAATCCCATGTTCATATTCCACTGCTCGTGTTGTATATTCCCATAATTCCCATTCCACTGGGTCCATGAGGGATCTTGGAAATTGTTTGCCATGGAATCTAGCTGGAAATCATCATTATATGACTGTCGCTCCCAATGAGGATTTCTTGGTCTCTGGCCGACATTTTGACCGGGCAGGGAGAAAGACCTCTGGTGACCACTTCCTGACCCCCATTTTCTCTGGGAAGTTCTTTCACTGCGACGCTTTCCCACAGCATTGTTTCTACTGGATTCTGGATCAGATAAATTGTTACTTCCTTTCTTTTTGGCTTGATTACCTTTCTGTCGGTTTCTTTGCTTGGATTTTTCCTGCTCCTCTTTTTCTCTGGAAAAACAAAGACAAAACAGTATTAGTTAAACCTACTGAAAATAATGGGTTTCTTTTAGTTTACCTCCTGTGATAAGACAAGGAAAATCCTATAAAAATTTTATGCTATATTTTTTACTTGTGTTAATTGACTGATCCCGTACTTGATTCTAGCCATGAGGACATCTTTCCCCATCAAGAGGTCCTCCTCTTCTCTTTGTCTCCTGCAGTCCTCGACGGCTCTTTTATGTTTCTCTTCATTTAGGTGTTTACCATACTCTATTATGTTAGCACACGTCATGAAACACAAAGTGCAGTTGTGGACACTCCCTCTACAAATAAACAAAATGATTTCTTGCTTTACTTCAAGGTTCCATAAAGTTAAAACCAATTTTTCAGATTTGTTTTGTACTTATCAATATGACTGCTCATCAAATGACAATTTGTCACTGCATGAAATACAGGTACATAATATGGCACTGGTAAACAAAAATATTTCAGTCTCAATTCAGTCTCAAAGTATTTATTCATCATGAGAGAATATTGTCTACTTACTTCTTTTGCTTTTCCATTTTAATATGATGCATTAAGGACCAATGATGATCTCGGAGTTCCTACAGAATATATAGTTAATGTACCAGGTATAACATGAATCGAGCATCATTCTACACACGATCTAAAAATCTTTCTCATTTTATATTTTTACCCTGCATACTATTGTTTAATGTGGATATTAACGAGTTGTTAATAACACCAATAGTACAAAGCACATTTCGCATGGGGACTATTCCACGATATAAGAAGAATGTATTGTTAAAACTGAATTAAGCATGTATAAAGGCATTGGTACACTGGGGGGATACTTATCCAAAATCTTTCTTACCCCAAATTTAACATAAATGTCTGTTTACAGTAACATAAATCATCATCAATATTTGTTTAAAAAAAATTTTTAGAAAATGATGTTATTCCAAAAGATTTTCAAAAATTTGAATGAACTTGCTTCTGTCCAAGATGAAAAAAAATGTCCTGTCAAATATTTACAATTGCAATGAGTGATGCATATAAAAATCAGCTTGAATGACACTTTAATATTAAAAAGAAACATTTACCACATCTGTAGTGTATGACACGTGACACACATCACAGTCATGTACTTCTCTTTCCTCCTGACTGTCTAAATCCATGGATACATCGGCTAAAACAACATCAGCCATTTTACCTGTTGTACCTAAAACAAAGAAGAATGGTCATTTGTATGTTCTCTAAATAATAATCTATAGATTATTGATATATTGATGTTTTGTTACACAATTCCTCTGCTGTCCTATAGTCTGTGAAGATAATTTTGATTTGTTCTGATATAAGTACTTGTTTCTTTCCTCTTCTATGACACTTTACCAAACCAGTGATTAATTTGTGATATGTAATTAAATTAAAAAAGTATTTAATTCTAAATGTTTGACTCAATAATTTACAGATCTTGTTTTGTTGCCTGTGACACCTTATTAACCATGTTAATTAATAACAGATAAACCCATTGAGTGCCATCTAAACAATAATCATTTATTAATCATGACAATTTACACAATGAACCCATAACACATCTTAATATATTGATATTTCTTAAACTAAGTATTTCATACTTGTACTGTACCTGGAAAATCAGACTTCCCAAAGGTCAAATACAACCTTTCTAAATACAAAGCTTCTTCATTCCTCTAACATTATATAAATACTGCATGTAGTTGAGGGTAAGATTGCAAATATTCACCCCAAGAAAAGGGATGAACATTTTTAATGTTACCCTCAATTACATGCTGTATTTATTATATTATACTGAATGTTTCATACAAATAAATACCCTATAACACTGAACCATGCGCGCATAAATTCTGCGCAGTCAATATTTTTTGGAATATCATCCGTCATCAAGCTAAGCTGGAGGGCATGGTTTCGTCATTCAGAGGGTAATAGTGTTTTTTAACAAATGTTACTCGACAAATCAGATTCAACTAATTTACATGAAAGTATATTATGTACTAAAATGCAATTTATCTGAAAAAAGTTGGGACCAATCACCCAAATGCCTATTTAGGATATAATATTCCAAATAAATTTACAATTCAAAAAATAAGAAAAAATTATTACATTCAGTAAAGAATAGTCTCTATTCCCTATATAGAGAAACAGTCAACGTAATTGATACTAGTTCCCCCAAAAAATATTGACGGTCATTCAATTTTAACTATTGACTGGCGAAGAGAGTTTTCCCACCTTTTACCGATATTGATTCTGATAAGTCAGTTGATTTATTCAGGGTTTTAGATTGCTGTCGGCCATCAGCCATTTGCCAATAAAAATTCAAACAGACATAATGGCCGATTAAATTCTGTATGTAAAGGCCCGTCATGTTTTTTTTTCCCCATTCAGATCCGATTAATTTCTTTTACTACTTTCTGCTACTGCAGATTTCATTAGCCAATGACAGTCGGGTATTAGATCTTGATCTGACACTAGATTGCTTCATGCTATTTCTTGTTGCTGATACACTTCTTTACCAACATTAACATGGAGTAGTGGACAAGCACATGCACCGCCAAAGAAAAAACTTCTCATGGAATATAATATTTAAAGGGCAGTAAACTCTGCAAATTCAGAATTAGAACTCATTTGAATGCTGTCAATGAAACTGAAGAATAAAAAAAATAATTTAAAAAAAAAAATTTGGAGAAAATCATGGAAAGAGATGCGAAGATTTTGGAGTACATGATTTAGCATTAACCTTATGTATGACTCAAAGTCACCAAACACAGGCAAAATGTTCAGTCATCTCTTTGGCCTCAGGTAGTAGAGAGCTCTGAGTGAACTCCGGTCTGTGCATGGCTTGAGAGAATGGGCATGACGGTGATTACATGTAACTAGCATCACTTAATGAAAATCCAGTAAAAACATGACCTTTAAATGTAAAAAAGGTTTGTTTTTTTTCCAAAATAAGATAAATACGATTGAGCTACACTGGTTCTGTATTTTATTTCTAAGGTTATTTAGCTGACTTCATTTAATTATGCAGTGAAAGCATTGTTAAAAGAATTGTATATTTTTGACTATTCGTTGGCTAGATAGAATGTTCTGTCGTTAAAATGAAAAATGTCCTACGGACCAGACCTATCCCAAGATTTTAATAACTATTAATTGGCCTATAATATTAGGAGGTTTAGGACGGAATGGCCTATAACTTTTCTGGTAAATATCCCAGGTGTCCAATAGTTGCTTATTTCAATCTGAAACCCTGTAATTTATTATGTCGTATATACGGTAATGATACCGTCACGACTTCCAAAAAACATAAACGTTACAATAAAAACCCAAGTTACACAATTATGGCAACTTGAAGATTCGCTGGCACTACAATCAATGTGTAGAATGATGCATTGGATACAACTGAGTTGCTGAATTTCGATGAATGAAATCAAAATACTATTTTATTGATTTCTATCGTTTTTTCATATAACCTGCCAAAGAATATCAGTGTAAGTCCATCTACTTTAATACGTTTTAAAATAATTTATGTATTTGCTTAAAAAAGGGTCACAGAATTATGAACTTTTACAGGTGTACTTGAACTACTTGGCCATCGGTGCACCCGACAGAACAAGTTTGTGCAGGTGACACCAATATAAATAAGGTCATAAAATATGCATCGCGAATCTTTAATTTTCACTTCAAATCAGCAATTTACATGGATATCTTATAAATCTTGAATGCATGTTATGTTTTTTTTTCTATATGATACCTTTACGTTACACTTGAATGGCCCTTTAAATCAATTAGAGAAATGCACATGCTATTTTGTTTTCGCCGCCATGTTCTTCTTTAGTTAAGTCGATCAAAAACGTATTCGAACAAGGAATGTCCGTTTTCCGAAATAGACCAAGTTAGCAGAGAGGCCACAAACAATCTGAAAATAAAACAGGAGAAGTCAGTGTGGGTTCTTCCGCTTTATAATGCGGTTTCTTTCGTAATACACATGTGGAAAATGATCATAAAAGAAAAGAAATAGGTTAATCAATCCTGAAAACAAGGAAATTTTTAATTTTGACAAATCGTTGTGGAAAATTTATTGAAGATAATCATGCTATACTAGTCACTAGTTTTTACTCATTATAATACCCCAGGTATATAGTTCATGGATCATTGCTAAAATGAGCAATGCTATGTATTTGATTAAAGTCATATATGGCGTATTTTTGTTAAGTTCAGACTTACTAAAATTAAAAAGATCTTTCTATTTGTTTTATTACTTTATATAACTTTAGATAGGTTTTCCCCCTGTAAATTGCAATTTAAATCAACCGCGTTTCATAGATATCGAAATTTAAAACAATAACCGATTTATTTACCGACTCCGTATTTAAATATCAGACACAGTTTAAAGTCAATTTAACTATAGAAACGTGGGGTTATTCAAGTTCAAAATCGGTGAAAATTTTTATTTGAACAAAAAACAACAAATATCATGTTCATCTATATTTAATCTCGTATTTTTATTTTTTTTTTTTTTAGCTCAGATACGCCATGTAGCTGAAAAATTATTATTTATAATAATATTTATAATTTTATAATTATAAAAATTATAGCTTTAATTGGCATGTATTTTTTTCTATTTTGGAATATAAATGAACAAACATTCTGCAGGCAGGTAATTACAGTATCCTTTTTGAAAGGGATCAGCCAGAAAAAAATTGACATCTCATCTGAAAAAATTGACGAGCAAAATTAGGAAATTTTCCAAAGTCGAAAATCCTATTTCGGGGGGGGGGGGCAATTTTCCCCACAAGTAAACAACATTAATACATTCCTATGGGCAATTTGACTTTGCTGCAGCAAAAAGGAGGCCCCTTCTGCCCCCTCCCCGATGCTACGTGTCTGAATTGTCATAATTTTTTTTTTTAAATCCGTTTAGGAGAATAGAGAGTTGTTATCAATTATAGCAAAGACACCTACATGTAATTAATTGATATTTATAGAAATCATGCATATAAAGATTTCATGGTGGTTTGAAATCTACGTCCGCGCGATCATTGCTTAAGATAAAGCTGATTTGTTGTTGAGATAAGACGAAATGTACAATTCAAGAGGCTACAGAATTTCATCATATATCACAGAGTCACCATGTTTACTAGTTCGACTTTCTTAATTCTCTTTGTTGCAGGCACCGCCCTGGGATGCGGACCACCAGGTACGACCCGTGGAGGATTTTGTCCGATCGATGCCAACGACCCGATTGTTAAGGAAATGGCACATTTTGCTGTGAAAACACACGCAGAAAAGAGCGATGCCATCAACAGTGGGGCGATAACAGTCAGTCATGCATCGTCACAGGTAAGAAGTCAAGTCACATGGTTTAATTTGTTCAACGAAAATAACATTTCAAAGTTAGTAAGTTATTATCAAATTGAGTGTCCCCCTATATAATAATTATAGAAGAAATCGAATTAACACTCCGACGAACCACGAACGAGTTTTATAAGGGTGTTCGAGTAGTCATTGCAGTCTAGGAATATTCAACTTCATCATAAGTAAGCATATTCGCAAACCAAGGGTAACATTTCCTCTTCCGCTCCCCAGATCGAGTAATTCTTGATATACATGTACTATATTTTTTATAACGTATTATAATTTGGAAATATAGGTTGTGTCTGGATACAACTACAAGATGACAGTCACCACAAACTTCAACGGTCAGGTAATATTTAAAAAAAAATAAATAAATTCAGTACTCAGAGACAGAAATGCTGGTAAATGTAATATTAGTATATTAATATATTTGTGTTCACCCAATAGATTTTTTTATTTACTAGATTACCGAGTGCCATTTCGTGGTATACGATCAGTCCTGGACAAATACACGAGAACTGACTACTGATGAGTGTCACGTGATCCAAAATCAACATCACCAGGAAGGACGTCTAATGTTATTAAATCTACTTCATAAATAAACAAATCCTAAAATTGTGATTTGCATGTGCATGCATTAATTGAAACAAGAACAAGTGCCGAAGTCGAATCATCACAGCTTTTGGGTAATATTAGTTATATATATATATATATAATTGTAAGTGTTGACCATCAGGCAAGTCATCTTCGAGACCCAGTCATGGTAACAAGTGGTTATGAACTTCTCAGAAGCTTCCCCATTATACGTTCATAGACCACGATCTAAGTATGAGCTGATCATGAAATTTTTTTCTGGAAGTTTTAGGCCTGCATTTTTTAGCCATGTATTTTATTAGTTAACCAATGATTAAGCAAATGTACATAATAATACAGAAGCTGTAAAGAATATCTTGAAATTACCCGAGTAGGTTAATCTTTAAACGGACTATATACATTTAAATCAACACAGAACGGTAGAACGCGGAAGGGGGGGGGGGGCGCTCCCCTCCCACTTTTTTGAGTATAGTATTTTGCAATAGTGAATTTTCCTTTAGATGCTGGTTCCCCTTACTTTTTGATGTTGTAAGGTCGAGCACTAGCAAATTCAAGAATTTGGACAGTAACCTAGTTGTTTTTTTTTTTTAAATTTAATTTTGCTTGTCAGATTTTTTATTTTTTGGAAGTTGTCCCCCTTTTGAAACCACTGCTACGGGACTTTGACAGACATTATATATATATATATATATATATATATATATATATATATATATATATATATATATATATATATATATATATATGACGATGTCAAGCCCTCGGGGAATAGTTCCCGTCGCGGGTTTGACAAAAGAGCTATCCCACTCACAACAAGTGGATAAGTGTATACTGTCGTTTGTAAGTGACGATGGCGTCTTGGATGTATGATATCTGCTGATACCGGCGTTAGTAAGTGAGATGGCGTCTTGGATTAAGGATATCAGGTACTGGCGTTAGTAAGTGACGATGGCGTCTTGGATTAAATATATCAGATACCGGCGTTAGTAAGTAAGTGACGATGGGGTCTTGGATGTAGGATATCCGGTACTGTCTTTGGTAAGTGACGATGGCGTCTTGGATTAAGGATATCAGATACTGGCATTAGTAAGTGACGATGGCGTCTTGGATTAAGGATATCAGGGACTGATATATGCTGATATCGGCGTTAGTAAGTGACGATGGCGTCTTGGATGTATGATATCTGCTGACACCGGCGTTAAATTAGTAAGTGACGATGGCATCCTGGATTAAGGATATCAGGTACTGGCGTTAGTAAGTAAGTGACGATGGCGTCCTGGATTAAGGATATCAGGTACTGGCGTTAGTAAGTAAGTGACGATGGCGTCTTGGATGTATGATATCTGCTGATACCGGCGTTAGTAAGTGACGATGGCGTCTTGGATTTAGGATATCAGATACCGGCGTTAGTAAGTGACGATGGCGTCTTGGATGTAGGATATCGGGTACTGTTGTTTGTAAGTGACGATGGCCGTCACTTACTAACGTCATTATCTGAGATGCCATCGTCACTTACCGTACTTAGTAACGCCACTATCTGATATCATATGTCGATTTAAGATGCAACATAATTATGTTGAAATGCGACTTATTTGTCAACACGCGAGATAATTTTGTACACCTGCCACTTATTTATGACAATATGCTGTATAATCATGTAGACATGCGATATAATTATGTAGATACTCAGTACAGTATGCGACTTACACGCGAAAGCAAGGGGAAATTAAATTTCATTCGTCTGTCAGTCTGTCTGTCACACGAACTTTAACCTTGGTAATAACTTTTGAAAGAGAAAAGATAGGGCTTTCATTTTTCACATGTACACTACCTGTGACAAGTCTTTTCCAAATATACTAAATTTTTTGACCCCGTGACCTTGACCTTGAAGTTGGACTACTTTTCAAAAATTTTAACTTTACTTTTACCCTTGGTCATAACTTTTCATTGAGAAGAGATAGGACTTTCATATTTTACCTGTACATTACTTGTAACAAGACCGGTCCAAAAGTACCATGATTTTTGACCCCGTGACCTTGACCTTGAAGTTTGACATACTTTACTAAAATTTTTACATTGGTTATACGTTTTGAATGAGAGAAGACAGACATTCGTATTTGACAAGTGCATTACTTATGTCAAGACTTTTCCAAACATTCTATGATTTTGACTCCGTGACCTTGACCTTGAAGTTGAACCTGATTTAAAAAATTAACAATGGTGATAAATTTTGAATGACAGAGTTAGGACGTTCATATTTGACAAGTGCATCACCTGCGACAGGAAGTTTCCAAATGAATTTTGATATTTGACCATGTGTCATTGTTACTAACCTTTGAAGAAGAGAAAATAGGGCATTCATATCTGATATTTGACCATGTGTCATTGCTACTAACTTTTGAAGAAGAGAAAATAGGGCATTCATATCTGACATGTGCGATACCTGTGAGAAGACCTTTCCAATTTCACTATGATTTTTAACCCCATGACCTTGAAGTTTGACCTAATTTTCATCAATTTTAACAGTGCTGATAATTTTTGAATGGCAGAAAATGGGAATTTATATTTGACATGTGCATTACCTGTATCAAGACTTGTCCGAATGTACTCTGGTTTTTACCTCGTTATCTCGACTCTAAGTTTAACCCACAGTCTTTTTCATTTTCTTTACACTGGTAAGATCTTTTGAATGAGGGAAGATAGAGCATTCATATTTTACATGTACTTTACCTATGGCAACAACTTTCAGAAAGGTGTATCATTTTTGACTTCATGACCTTGATCTAGAAGTTTGAAGGATACACAAATAAGACAGATAAAATATGCCATAAATAATTGCATCCCAACCACTAAGACACTGAAAGCGGGAGACCACAATTCGTTGAATTTGCTTATTATGATATTCTTATTTAACGAACAGGATGATGAAACAAGAATATCAGCAGTCGCGTTTAAAGTCATCATTTCGTAAGTTCTATGGTCGATACAATGACCTTGTCAGCAAATACAATCTTTCATTAAGTCAAATGCTGACTGATTTTTTTTTTATACTAATTTTGGATTATAAATTATGCACTGTAGAAATCTGGCTTAATAGTTAGGGAAAAATGTATCATTTCATTAGCTTAACGTGCCATATGATGCTTTTTAAAGAAAAATAGGGGGTATACACCCCGCGTCCAACAGGTTGCATACACCCCGGGCACAACATTGATTTTTCGTCAATATCTTTAAATACGAACTGTTTTATTTACAGACAATTTATACATACGTTTATATAGATGAAATGTATTTAACAGTAATATGAAAGTGATGATAAAGCAACGCTTTCTTCTGATATTTAAGGAATGAAGCTTATTTTAACCTATGTTATACGATATAACATAATTTGGGGCAGTGGAGAAGCGGTTTATAAAAATGCGTAAACTGTCCCAAGTTATGTTATATCGTATAACACAGGTTTAAATAAGCTTCATTCCTTATAATTTAATTTCAGTGTAGATAATAAGACAATTTTTCCTCCAAAATGGCTTCAACTATAGCATATTTTAAGAGTAACGTCAAACGGAGTAATACGTTTTTGACGTAACTCATTGTGACGTAGGCAACTTATGTTATACGATATAAATTAAATCTTTTATCCAATCAAATGTTACAATTAAAATTAAATTATTTGATCATAAACACAATGTCGCATCAATCTTGCTCTGATCCTCGGAATTGGTTGAGGTGTTTGATAAAACTAGAAAGTGTACAGTGAATTCATTGACCAGTATCCATATACTCCTTAGATAATGCTTTCTTCCGAAGGCATATGTTTTCCGGCGAAATATATCAATAAATTGAGAAATTGAACAAAAACCATACCTTGACCCCCTTGCTTCGGAAGCATACACCCTGTGCACAAGTATTATTTAGAGAACGAGACGGGTTCCGTATCGTAGATACACATTTGGGGGTGGACGAGTGCGTAGCACGAGTCTCTGCCCCCAAATTTGTATCTACGATACAGAACCTGTCGAGTTCTCTAAATGATTTGTGACACGATCAATCAAAATAAGCACCTCCCAGTTTTAACTGTTCAGCATCCGCAGTATATATATATTTCCACGGATAACGTAAGATTCAGTCAGGTTAGTTTTGACAACAGGGTAGATGTAATTGACTTGATTTCTTAATGGATAAGGTGGACGATTTAACTTTCTAGTAGTTTTATTATACTATGGAGATTGATCCTGATATATTTGGAGGGTCTCAAAATCTCAATTTTCTGAGGTACAAATCCAGGCGATACAAACAGTTCTTCGGTGGACTTTGATGTGAGGGATTTTTATTTTTCTTTTTGAAATGCGACATTAAAAACGAAGTGAAAGAGATGTGGGTCAGTCGTCAGCGATGAGGATTTAAGAAGAGATTTGAATAAAATAAAAATGCTAAAAATGGACTTGAATGAGTTTGCACGAGAAGACTCGAAAAGGGGTGGGGGCGTCGAATATTACTTAATGGATGCTGCAATCGTGAACCATTGGCTTTACCATTGTAAAGGGGATACAAAAAAGCAGGGAAAGCAATAAGTTTTTGAGGAATTTATCCAACACAGGATGTTTTACAATAACTGCGAATTTTCCTTTTCGTTTGGATCGAAATAACGTGTGAATTCTGTGTGGAATAACTTCTTAAAAGAGATTGAGACAATTTAACATTTTACATTCCTAAGGAAATATTATTCCAAAATTCATAATAGGAAAAAAATCGGCATTTCTATTTGTACGTGCTTTTGATAAATCGAATCAGATTTATTTTTAGACCGTGCTGTATTTTAGATACAGAATAGTCGGCTAATAAAACTCAGTATACAGGGCTAATACAGAACGGAAAATAGCTCCGCCCACTGTAGTCCCGTTCTGTATTGCTAATAGAGAAAAGGAAACTTCAAAGAAAAACACCGCTATCGTGTCACAACGTAGTATACATCCCGCATGTTGGGAAACACACGGTGAAAATGTGACGGCAAAGAAGATTTAGAAAAGGGAGAGACTTGTGATAATCCAAATTCAAAATAGTCTTCATTTTTCATTGTAATGAATAAACTAGATCAATAAATTAAAAGAAAATAGAGACTTATGCAAATGTCTCTGTTTTACAGGGAAAGTTATAACTCGAAAGTTAAGCGTTTACTCGCGAAAAATATTTTTTTAATCTAATAAAATGAGTACAATGGGCTTTCGTAATAAAATATATGTTTTAAAAAAAGGTCGGTTTAACGATCCCCCCCCCCTTCCCATTTCTACATCTATATTCCACTCTATCCACAATTTAGTCCGAAATATCTGTCGTTTTCCAGGCTTTTTTTTTTTTTTAAACTTTTGATATTTGACGTGACGTGCCGTGAAAACGCCTGCTATAAACTCAGAGACATTTAGTTATTAATTAAGGTCAAGATCTAGTAAATGACTTTAGACTGTGTTTTTGGTGCTAGAACCATTATGACGTCATAAACAATTTAAACTTTCCTTTTCCCGTACTTTACAGCTCAAATACAATTATGAAGAAAATAAAGTATTTTCATGGCATTCAATTTGAAATCATGTGAAAAGTAATCCCGATGCCTATATTCAATTTTACATTATTTTAAAGAAGAGGCTAAGAACATACGAATTACCGTTTTCTGAGAGACTGTAGGCAATCTGGATATATTTCCTTTGTCTGACTTGGAAAAAACTCCCATATTCATGAATGGCTTTCTTAATTTTTCATTGAAAATGACGGTTTACAAAATGATTTTTCGTCTTGTTTTCCTACAAATTATGCCCCGATACACCTTATTTGACCGAGCTAAAGTTATAAAGCATCATAAAAGGAATTTATTTCTCAAGTTTGGGAAATCTGTAGGCTCTTTTCATTTACTAGATCTTGACCTTAAGACCTATTAAAATGTTTTTGCTCCCCATCCCCTTTTTAAAAAAAAGGTCTGTTATATTAGAACAAATAGGAAATTCCTGTTATAACCATCCTACGGATTACAATGTTCAAAGCGTATTATTGGAATCGCAAGTCTTTTACTATGGTCTGATTCGAGGCCGCGGGAAAATGAACAGTTGGTTATCTTTCCTGACTTGACGTTGGGCAATAGAGGGCGCTAAGTGTATATAAACATGAAAAGGAAGTGACAGACATTCACTTTCTTAGTTATTTTTCAGTCTCAGGATTGTGACAAGGAAATTTGTAATAATGAGAACTTTATTGATATCATGTGCTTTGTTGGCGTCTGTGTATGCAGTATGTCCCCCGGGAGGATACTGCCCTTTGTCTAATGTGGAAGCTAACGCCGTTGTACAAGAAATGGCCCAGTTTGCCCTCAATGCATATGCAGCCAAATCACACGACGTCTCGTCATGTGATGGAACCTTCACAGTTAAACATGCTAGTACACAGGTAACAACTGCGACATTGTGCCGTCCTGGTCAGATCATCCAAATCGTGTATTTTCCTACTAATTATTTTTTTTTGGGGGGGGGGGTATCATATGACATGTCCCTGTACTATTCTGTTTAAATAGATTTTTTTTCCATATGATTAACTAAAAGTTGGAGCTGTGTGGCTTGTGTAATTCACATAAAATTAATCAAACTAATGTCTTATAAAGAAGTCGATGGAATTTTCAGAAACAAATAACCAGGGACTTGTATATATATGTCCCAGTCCCTGAAATGGCTTAAAAAAAACCAAAACAAAAGCCCCTCTATAACACTTAATGGTCAGGAACTTTGATTGAATTCGGGAAAGGGGGTAGGCAATTTGGAGTAACGTCTAAATTAACTGGACATTCATTTAGGATTTACCAGATTATCTGAAATTCAATGTCTCAATGGCAGCTTGATAAATGAAGTGAAAGAAACAAAAGACAGCAGGACACATTATATTTTGTTTTTATTTTTTTTAATAATAACATAACAAATTGTCTGACAATTCTATAAGTTAAATACAAGACTCATTCTTAATATACCATCAAATTTGAATCTATAATTATAAGCTTGCACATTTTTATTTCTTCTTCAGAAGTGTCTAATGGTATGGCAGGATTTTTTTTTTTTAGACCTCTTAATATTCAGTTTGATTGTTGAGATGTATTTTGTTTTTTCTTTTCTTTCTTTTTTTTAAATTATCCAAGTTTATTAAACTAATTTTATGGAAGAACCTACAACTAAGACCCAAAAATTGACTTGGTCCTAAAACCAGTCTGTTTAATAACATTGTAGAAAACAAATGTATATATTATACAATTATCCATTGATATGGTAAATATTTCATAGTTATTTGAGTATATTCTTTTATATTAATCACACAGTGAAGCTGGGATTTAATAATATATGTAGTACACTAAGTGAGAATGATCTACATGTGATTTTTGGATATTGACAGGTGGTTGCAGGTATTAACTACAAGATGACTGTGGAAGCTACCTGTGGAGGACAGGTAAGTATCATATTCTCTTATCACATGAAAGGTCACACAAGCTTATCTTCAAGCTTTTAGTGAAGGTTTTGTTTGTAAATTTTAAGGTATACTTCATCAAGTTGCAAAATTGCATTATATATTATATAAAGAGATTATTTTCATAAATTTCTTGGCTGAAAGGATATCATATTTATCCTTTTTTGATGTTGATGCAAAAGCACGTCTACAGAATATGATATCGCACAACTCACAACTCATAATTTCTATTAATAGTATAATAGGCAAAAACCATCGTGCCAAAGTTATGTAGAATGTGACATCATGATGCATGTATTACAGGCGTGTTTTTACCATTGTAAAGTAATGACAATTAGGACTTTGTCAAATTATTCACTTTGAGTGATCATATTGTAAAACTATTATGGACTTCAGTGAACAGTCAGTATTGGTCATATATTTTCTGTGTCTTTGTTCAGTATCTTTTGACATGGTTCTTTATTATCACATAGCGACCTACACTGAAGTCCATAATTGTTTAACATTAATGATTAAATGTAAATTTTTAGATGCTCATTTTCTTGACTTCTATGTCCAACTATGTACAGTATTAGATTCTACTTTCTTATAATGATAAAACTATGACCTTGTTCTTATGATTATGAGTATTTTACTGATGATTCTGCAATGGAACTTAGTAGAGGCTCTGTAATTGTTGTTTTTAATTATGTACCTTGATTTTACAAATCTACAGTATCATTTAAAACACTAATCAGTAATGAAAATATTTTTTACAAAAAAATTGAAAAATGTCTAGCTGAATGTTTGAGATATTCTCTGGTAATTTTGTAGACAACCTTGTGCCAGTTTATTGTGTTTGACCAGTCCTGGACCAAGACGAGAGAGCTGACCTTTGACCACTGCACCACCAGTCATAATCGTTTAGCTTTGGTTGGGGGTTTATCTCATGCAGATACAAGTAATGCCCAGTTCCTGGATGCCATGAAATATGCAGCATCCCAAGTTGACATGCAGAGCAACAGCATGTACAAAACTACCCCTGTTCACTACAGCCATTGTTTCCAGCAGGTCAGTGAAAATCTCAAGGCTTTTTGCATGAACATTAAGGTGATCTTTATTTGCAGTGTTCATTTTTCTTCTAACTGATAGCAGTAAACATTTTTATTTTTAACTTTCATAAAATGGTAATTTTTCAAAATTTTATGACTGGAAATTCCCAATCAGCTGATAAATCATGTTATAAATAGGAAATAAGTAAACATTATACAACATGAAAAATAATTACATTATTTACTGACCACTCTTTCTTTTCTGATGGCACAAGAAAGCGGCATTTTTAGATCAGCCAACAAACATTTAGAAAAACAATTCTGAATATTATGTTTTTAAAAGAATATTGCTAGTTAATACTTATAAGGGAGTATTTTCCATTCAAGAGCTTTTTAGCATAATTTGGAATATGCAAATCTGATAAGATTCAGTACTTTACAAGATCGAGTTCTGATACTTTGTAATTTTTTGTTTTAGGTTGTAGCTGGTATGAGATATGTGTGTGACATCACCTTAACTGAAAACTCCTGTATGAAGGGAGACACAACAGAGCTCTCTCTGTGTTCAGTTAAAAGCAATGGATTTGTGAGTATCAGTGTTAGCATTGTTAATGGGATTAAAATAAAAAGTAAAATATACATCAAACAAATTAAAGTTCAATGACCTTAAAAAACACATGGGGAAGTTATTTGTGGTATATTTTATTTCATTGTGTACAAAATAGAATGTAATATTTATGTATGTTAGTTTCCTAAGGATTTTGAATATTGTACAAGTCATCACTGACATGTGACCATAGAGCTGCATGCATATGTAGGAAATTACAAATTTTAGAATAATTAGAGGTACTCATGAAAATACTGTTTATTTCCTTAAAAATATTGTTTATTTCCTTAAAAAAAATGGAAGAGAAGCAGTGTATTCTCATGCAGTGAGATTTAGGTGCTTAAAATTTACTGCTAATTGCTGTTCATCTAATCCAAAAAAGATTTTTTTCTGGTTAGGGAGTGGTTAAAAATCAAAAAGAATTCTCTCTTGTTTTACTGTGTATATGATAAATGAGGTGTCATTATGTTTTATGTCTTGTATCTTTCAGTCCACCACATGGCATGTGGATATTGTGTCCCAGCCCTGGATGCCCAACAAGTACACAATCCAGACACTAACAATGAAGGTATCAGGACAGGTTTTATTGACTCACCTGGGTCTTATTGGCTCAAGTCATTTATATGATCCAAGATTTATCATCACCTCTCTCTCTTCTCTCCTCTCCCCCACCCCCCCTCTCTCTCTCTATATATATATACATATATCTCTCTGTTAATTATCTTTGCCATTTTTAACCTTAGCCTGAGTGGTTAGGCTAAAACCATCAAAATTAATGCAATCTTTAAAAATCTTCTTACTATTGTTGGCATGATTGTAATAAGCATCGACCCCGCTACCAAAATTTTGAAATTCATGGCCCTAGGGTCAGGAGGGTAGGGCTCAATTGATCATATTGTGAAAATGCATAAATAATTTCGAAATCTTCTTCTCTGTCCCTTGGTATTCAGCAAACAAACTACGTGCATGGTTATGATAAGCAAGAGTATCTCTTCCAAAATTTTGAATTTCCATGCCTCTGGTCAGGGGTTCTGGTGTAAAGGCAGGGCTCTATTGATTATATAGTGAAATAGATTAATTCTTTGAAAATCTTTTCTGTTCTCAGATATTTAGCAGATAAACTAAGTGCGTAATATTGATGAGCAAGTGTACTTCTATCAAAATTGTGAAATTTCTGGTCCCTGGGTCAGAGGTTCTGGTGTTCTAATGGGGATCGATTGATTATATAGTAAAAATGCAATTAAGTCTTTGAAATCTCCTCTGCTTACAGTGGTATTATACTCTGGTGACCGTTAAGGCCTCTGGGCCTCTTGTCTCATGTAACATCTAAACTCCCACTGTATTGTGGAGAAAAACAGGTGCATGTAATATTTTCCTTATTTCTGTAATTTACTCAAGGCATTCATGTATGTCATGTTCTTTTTCTTTTGTGCACTTGTATCATTTTATTTACTTTATTTACTATTCACCTGAACTTTCTCTTGACTGCACTAATACATGTATGTAATTTTCTCATCCTCATTTTCAGCACTAGAATAGCACCTTCATTTAACCAGCTTGGTGACATGGCTTCTAACACATTTGATTAACTACTAATTCTGGGGACGTCTACTTACTGTGATGCTGTTGCATGAGATCAAGATACTTAATTTTTTGTTGCTTTAATGTTTGATGTTTATTAAAGTTTTATACCTTGTTTTTTATTTTGAATCCTGCTTTATTTTTATTCTGGACTCATCAGTTCCAATATCTATACTCTATGCACCGTCATGTTTATGAATTGATACATTGCTCTTGCTAACTACACTGTTGTGAGTCATATGATGCTAAATGTTCTGTAAAATGCACATAATAGTTGATAAGTAATTTCATTATATCCGGTGATGCAAAATGTACATGTACATGTACCATTATATCAAAATGTACATATACAGTCAAACCTCGTCATCTCGAACATCAGTGACTACTTTTAGATCCACTACCTACCTCTTAACTTGTGGATGTTAATCCATGTAATTCCCGTAAATGCAGGCTTGATGTAAATGTAAGGTAGAAAAGAAGTGTTAGTGTTCTGATAGAAAAAAAAATAATCAACCATTTTAAGATAATTTTGATGTCAGGGGAGCTTAGAAATATCATATTTAATGAATGATCAACATTCTAGACAGCTAATGATAACAATAAACCACTAAAACTTCTTTAGGTCAATATTTTAAAATTTGAAAGGTACCTTAATTTATTTTTTTTATTTATTAAGTTCAAGTTAAGTTTCTTTGGTTAATTTGTTCAGGAATGAAAGGTGCTCATAAACAGTTAATTGTACTAGTGACAGATGTACATGTAGATCAAACAGAGAACTAGATAAATACAACCAGTCACAATATATAATACAGTTTGGGAGTAGGGTTTATTCTACAGTTTAACATCATTAGTTTGAACAGTGATATAGTGTTTGGATGCGTATGACGGTCACATTATTTTGCCTGTTATTATAAAATAAAATACGCAATATAAGATGTTCCAGATGCTATAATTGCCTTCTTTATTCTTGTGAGGTCACCCAAGGCCACTTCAAGATTATTGCAAAATCAATGAAATTACATAAAATGTATGTAATATGAAGATTTATTTGTTTGTTTGTTTAATGTTTGAGAATTTTTCACTCATATTGAAGTGTCACCACTACTAGGACACATGACCTTGGTTTATATGGTCTGAGCTGAAGGACCTGTCTTCACATCCCACAGTGGGATTTAGAACCCATAACTCTAGTGCAAACGCTCTAACCACTGTGCCTTGCAGGCGACCATATTAAGCTTTATGTTGCACTTTTGTACCAGTCCACTGATCTGCGTAGTATTTCTGATAAGAGAATGTAGACTAAGACTATGGTCGATTGTGAGTGTTTGGTTGAACTTTGAGATGGGCTTCTTGAACCACTTCATTCTAAAACCCTTATCACTTATGTGGAGCATTGTTGTAACAGGCTACACTTTATATTACATGCTTCCTTCAAGGGATTAAACAAAAATATTTTGAACTTGAAATTTGAATGTGAATTATGTATATGGTATACTACTTGACTTTTCATTTCTAAAAATTTAAAAACATTTCATTTAGAGTATACCCATTCAGATATCTGAAAATCTCAGTATGGAAAACAGTAGTGAGGAGTATTTCTCTACCATGATGATTTTCAGTAATAATTAAGAATTTATTATCTATTTAATACTTTAAATGTGGATAATATGTGTATCATTAATCACAAGAATCAGTAGCAGAAGTAAAATACATAGTGGATATTCTGTGGTACTGGCATCGTTAATGCTGAATAAAATGTATATAAAGGCATATGTCTGCAGAGGAATAATCATCTGATCATAAATGTCTTCTTATGACCCCACCTGTAAATGTTTATGGTTAGAGAAATTAAATATGTAACATGAATAATTAAAAAAAAGGATGTTTTTAGGGTGTGCTTTAAATTGTGTACAAAAGGTTTGATTCAGTTCTTATCTCACCTGAGCTGAAGGCTCAAGTCAGTTTTTCTGATAAAAATTTTTCTGTTGTTTTTATCGTCATAAACTTTTTGCTATTTCATGTTTTTTGTTCGAACCATTAGGTAAATTTTAACCAAACTTGGCACAAAGTATCCTCAAGTAAATGGCTTCAGGTTTGTTCAAATGAAGGGCCACACCTTCTTCCAGGGGAGATGATTAAGAAATAGTAAAAATCATGACCCCTGGGGATAGGGTGGGGCCATAATTGGTGATTAAAGTTTTTTGCAGGTATTCATTTTCAAATTGTATTGTGTGCATATTTTGGACACTGTGAAGCCTATGATCATCCTACCTTTGGAATTTTATGGCTATATTTATGTATTTCAGATACTAAGTGACTTAGAATCATTGAACTATGTCAGTTGATGCACTTGGGTCCCCATAGTCTGTCAACCAAAAAATGGGTCACTATGACATACTTTTGGAATTTTAAGGCAATATCTAAATATTTCAAATAATAAGAGACTTAGAATCATCAAACTTTGTCAGTTGATGCACTTTTGGTTCTCATAGTATGTCAACCAAAAAGGTGACCTACTTTTTGATTTTTCACAGATTAAAATAAATATTTCAGATAAAAAGAGGCATTAAATCATATTTTGTCAGGTTAATGCATCTTTGGTCAACAGACTTTCTCAACTAAAAAGTAGGTCACTGTGACCTTCTTTTGGAAATTCATAGTTGTATCTCAATATTTAGAATAATCCTCCAAATATATCTCCACATAAAAAATAAACACATTCCTTTAACAATTTACATAATATGCATATAAATTTTCATTATGCTGTAACTTCAGATTTTGATAAGAGACAAATTTGAGCTTTCTTTTTTCTCTGTGCTGTTTTAATCTTAAATTGTGAAGTTTCTCCATGCTAGACTTACACGTAAATATGAAGTCCAAATGAAAAGTCATATCTCACAAGCTCAGAAATTTCTAAATTTACACATATTTCTCAACTGATGTATATTTATCATTGTTACAGAATTTTTTATTTTAAAACAGCATTTATTTTTGTACCGGTAATTTGTAGGAAAACATTGAGGTAGAACCAGAAGACTTACAAACCCAGAAATTGAAAGTGCTGAAAGAGAAACTTGGATTAAAATTGAAGTCAAATTCAGCACAAAAGATAAATGAAGCATTTAACTGCAAAGGAAAGATCTGCAAGTCTGGCAAAGATCTTTTAAATTTAGGATATCAGCTGGTTAACATGAGAAAAAATAAAATGAAATCCGATAGAAAAATGATGGGTCTCACAAAACTGTTGGGAAAAGATGGGCATGATTTGAAACCACATGAAAAGCAAAATTTGATTGGTGGAGATGGACATGATTTAAAGCCACATGGAAAGCAAAATTTGATTGGTGGAGATGGTCATGATTTAAAGCCACATGGGAAGAGTTTGATTGGTGGAGATGGACATGATTTAAAACCACATGGAAAGAGAAAGAGTTTGATTGGTGGGGATGGACATGATTTAAAGCAACATGGAAAGCAAAAATTGATTGGTGGAGATGGACATGATTTAAAACCACATGGAAAGCAAAAATTGATTGGTGGAGATGGGCATGATCTGAAGCCTCATGGTAATGTGAATGTGTTGGATGGAGGAGCTTTGTTACTTAATGGAAGTCCCATGTTTAAGGGCAGTGTTGGGGATCTTTGCCAGTGGGGTGTGTTCCAAAATTTTCAAGAGAAATATAAGAGACTCTACATGTCTAAAGAAGGTAAATTTTTTTTAATACATTATGTATTTTAGAACAATGCCAGACATATTTCTCTTTGTGTGTGAAGTCTTTCATGTACCATTATTTCACCATACATGTTATAACGTGTAAACTTTTTCAATGCATATCTTGCTTCAGAGGAGAAGAAAAGATTTAAAATATTCTGTGAGAATATGAAAAAAGCCCAGAAGATGCAGGATATTGAGAAAGGAACAGCAGTATATGGAATCACAAAATTTGCAGACATGTCAGGTATGGTACAAAGTTTCAGAATGAAAATATCAGTTTCGAAACTGGATTTATATTTAATTTTTAAATTGTTTTCTTTAGATTCCTAGAAGTAGTATTAATTAAATGATAATATGTATAAAAAAGAATTGCTAGATATTGCAATAGATGACTGCTACCTTCATATTTATTTACATACCTTTACAGAATCTGAATTTAAGCAGTATGTTGGCAGTCTTTGGGACCAGAATGCTAATAAAGGAATGAAAAAGGCAGCCATTCCCAAATTCAAGTCTCTACCTAAAAATTTTGACTGGCGTGAACATGGTGCTGTGACAGAAGTTAAAAATCAGGTTTGATCCTTTTTAAGGATTTTTTGTACCACATGTTTATTAACTTAATGGAAATATTCACCACAATGAGAAGCATGACATGGTTGAGGTCAAGGTCATAAAGAAGTGTAGGTCACCAGTGCTCCTAGTTTAAGATGTATTTTAACATGATATACAAATTATGACATCTAAATTATTATAATTATGGACTCACTTTTTTGTGATTTAATACTGGTAAATAGGGATAGGAACTTAATATGTTACTCTGAGCACTGAGCACATAAAATTATACCCCCTGCTCCCATACGAGTATAACAGCAAAATCAATGTTAATGCAATGGTAAACCCAAATATCTGTCTGGTTGGAATGTAAAATAGAAGGTGCACAATGGCAATGTCTCAATACATTCAATACAGTGGTATAGGAACAATTGCAGATAAAAGATGGGTACCCTATAGAAAGAATGGCAGTTTACATGTATTGCTATGGGAAACCCCAAATATCTGTCCAATCAAAATGTAAAATATGAGTCGCACAGTGGCAATATGTAATAAATTCTATGAAAGGGTCATTAAATTTTCTGTTGTTGTTTAGGAGGCGTTGAAGATAAGAGATGGGTTCTCCCAATACTATAGAAAGAATGGTAGTGTCCATGTTTGGCAATGGGAAACCCTAAATATGTGTCTGATCGAAATGCAAAATAGGCAGTGTTTTCCCTTTATTTCATAGTAAATGGTTAGAGATCATTTGTAACAAGCTAGGGGTTAAGCTTATGAACAAAACCTCTGTGGAACTTACAACAATTATCTTTTAAATTTTTGATTTCTAAGCGGCATTTTTATCAATTGAAGTGGTCAATTTGGCCAGTAGCCAGTTCTTAGGGAAAACGCTGAATAGGAGGTGCACAATGGCACTAATGATAAATTTTGTGAAAGTCTCAATTTTTGATTCAGTGGTATAGGAGGAGTTGCGGATAAGGGATTGCTACCCCAAGCGCAATGGTCATACAGATGGACACTCACCATTACATATACCTCCCGATAATCCATCAGGGAGGGGGTATAAAAAATCAGAACAAAACCCCACAATAAGTATAATCTGTTTTTTTCTTCTCATGCTTTAATAGCTGCTCAACTCGATTGACTTTTGTTGCATTTCGTCATTGATTTACTCTACCTCAACCCGCGTGTGCATGGGTTAATGTTTAGTTATATATTAGATTAGGATCACTTGGTATGTCCATCAATCAAGTTAACTGGAAGTAATAGTGAACAAATTGTGAGGTGTCATTTACTTTACAGGGAGCTTGTGGGTCATGCTGGGCTTTCTCTACAACTGGAAACATAGAGGGACAATGGGCCATTCAAAAGAAAAAACTCATCTCTCTGTCTGAACAAGGTAAGGTTCTGACCAAGGAATAGATAGAATTTCCCTTGTTAATAGTTATATAAATAATGTGGTTCCCTTAATGTTCTCTAGATAAACAGTTAAATTTTGTAATATTTCTATATAGCTGAAGTGACAGGTTTGTCATGAGATTTTCTAGTTTTTATATGCCTGTCTTAAGACTAGACATATTATGTTATGGTGTTCATGTCTGTCCGTCTGTCCACCTGTCTGTCTGTTAGCTTTTTCGTGTCTGTCTCCTAACTTTAATACTATTAGGCC